AGGAAAGGCTAGTTGTACAGTATGTGCTAATCCTCCTAATGTTAATGGTTAGGGAAGACTGCTGGAGATATGATTGATGAGTATTGGAGTGAAGGAGGGAAGATTGGTGATATGAATTAAAACTACTTAAGTAATGTATAAGTGGGAGAAACTTGACTAGAACTTAAAACTTTACTGTACTGAAGCAGAAGAGTGAGGGAGGACCTTAGATTAGACTGAAGTTATATATACGAGTGAGAGAAGGATTTGTGCTACTTAATCTGCACTGGATTTATTTCCTTCATTTCTTCCATATCCTAGGGTCAGGTTTCACTTTGTCTGAACCAAACCAAAAAGAGTCATCTTTTGACTCCATCCGACTCAAGGAATTTCATCTATCAACTAGAATCAACCAAGTAAAATCCAGTGTAAGCAAATAGAAATGAGATTGTAGAAAAAGATGGAAGACTTTTCTGTACATGTATTTTAATGGTTTATTATAAGAATATCTGTACTGTATTGGTGTAGCGTTTCTATTGTCTCTTTTCATCAGTCATATATACAATAGTCACTTACCAATGTAATTTGAAGAATCATGAACTGCATTTGCCCCCATTCCCCCACTCCTTTAGGACGGGGGTCAGAAGTCTGTTCTGGGAAGTACCTTACTCTCGGAACATTATATCTCTGTTCTACATGATTCGGACATTTCTGTATCTGGAATAAGGAGCTTCCTGGAGGAGGTAACTGATCCTAGGAGAAGCATTTGGAAGTTTGTGTCTCGGAAGTCAGCGTAAGGCTGCTTCGGATCCCTTTTTTTTAAGAGTTTGGAATTCCTCATCCAGGAAGTGCCAAACCTAGAACAAGGAGAGCCGGTCCTGAACTTGGTTAGCCTTTTTTTATCCTTTTGAGATGGGGTCAGGAGGCTTCTTCCAAGAGGTAAATGGCTTTTGGACCAGCATGTTTGTTTGTCCAGTGGTTCCAGAAGTCAGGATCCTCTTGGGGGAGAACCCTGGCCCTCGGACCTGGCATCACCCAGGTTCAGGGAGTGGTGGTGTTGTTGGTAGTGAGTGGTGAGTGTTGTTGGTAGTGAGTGGTGGTGTTGTTGTTGGTGAGTGTTGTTGGTAGTGAGTGGTGGTGTTGTTGGTAGTGAGTGGTGGTGTTGTTGGTAGTGAGTGGTGGTGTTGTTGGTGGTGAGTGGTGGTGTTGTTGGTAGTGAGTGGTGGTGTTGCTGCAGTGAGTGTAGTGCGCTGTTGGCAGTGAGCAGGTGCTACAGGTATGTGTGTTTGTTGGTGGTGGTTGCAGTGAGTGGTGGTGTTGTTGTTGGTGAGTGTTGGTTGGTAGTGAGTGTGTGCGTTGGCAGTGAGCGTGTGCCGTTGGTAGTGAGTGGTAGTTGCCGGCGTATATGTGCGTTGTTGGTAGTGAGTGGTGTTGTTGGTGTGGCGCTGCTTTGGTAGTGAGTGGTGGTGTTGGTAGTGAGTGGTGGTGCGTTTGGTAGTGGAGTAAAAGTTTGGCGGCAGAGTGGTGTGTTGTTGCAGTGGAGTGGTGCTGTTGGTAGTGAGTGGTGGTGCGTTGTTGTTGGTGGTGAGTGCTGTTGGTAGTGAGTGGCGGTGGTGTTGTTGGTGGTGAGGCTGTTGGTAGTGGCGGGTGGTGTTGTTGTTGGTGGTGAGTGCTGGTTGTGCAGCGGCAAGTAGCGCTGTTGGTGGCGCCAGCGGCAGTGGCGTGGTGTTGTTGGTGGTGGTGTTGTTACAGTGGAGGCGGTGCTGTTGTTGCGGTGAGTGGTTGGAAAGAGTGGTGGTGTTGTTAAGCAGGTGAGTGTTGCTGGTGTGTGAGGTGTGGTGTTGCCAGGTGAGTGTTGTTGGTAGTGAGTGGTGGTGTTGTTGTTGGTGGTGAGTGTTGTTGGTAGTGAGTGGTGGTGTTGTTGTTGGTGGTGAGTGTTGTTGGTAGTGAGTGGTGAGTGTTGTTGTTGGTGGTGACCCATGTGGGGTGTACTGTGAGTTGGTTATTGCTATTTTTCAACTCATATTTTCAGATAGATTTACATAATTTTCTTCTTTTTTTTTATACTGTTACATGCACACACACACACACAACCCTCCTACATAATGTGCCCCCCAAATTAAAGAAATGATTAACATAAGGTAAAAAACATAAACAAAATGAAGCACTTTTTACAACAGCTGGAGTCGCCCGGATTGTGTGAACAGGGGTGGAGATCTCAGCAGCTCCAGTCTCCTGTTTCTAGTGAAACTACTGCCAATTGGCAATGTGGTATTTTTCCTTTATTTTATTTATTAGTATAATTTTTATTTATTCTTCACATATACTGGTACTGCAGCAAACATGTGACCCTGGTCCCTTGGTCTCTAAGAGCCTTGGATAATGAGGAGAATATATAAAAAAATATGTGAAGAAAGTTGCCAGTTGGGAATGCATCCCTCCCCCATTTACATTAATTCTTATGGGGAAAATTGCCCCGATATTTGCTACTTTATTAACAGCAATGACTTTCAGGAATCCCTGTACATCGCTTGTGATAACCAGGGTCTTCCTGCACTGTATACCAGTAAATGCGAGATATAAATAAAAATAATTAGTAAAATAAAATAAATCTACTGCATTGCCTTCGCTTCATTACAAATGGGACACAGGAGACAGTAAACAGCTGTTGAGATCCTCCACACTGCTACCCTCCCGTCCCCAGATATGTGTGTGCTAATACCAGTGAATGTAAGAAATGTTTATTACCTTTTTGTTTTTAACCATGTGATAATTATTTCCTTTTTTCTCATTCTGTATTAAAGATTGTGTGTTCATTAAGAGTACAGTGAGTTCTGCTATAACGCATGTTTTGACAACGCGAATTGGCTCTAACGCGATTTATGAATAGAGGAACGATATTTGTATAACGCGAACGCTTGTTTGCTGTAACGCGATTTTTGCTTATTATTTCTCCAATTTTGTGGTATTAACTGTGAGTATGGTAAAGAAGAATATCTCCAAGAAGCGTTCTGGTGATCGCATTCCCGGTGGTGATCGCAAAAGAAAGGCTATAACCCTTGAAAAGAAGCTCGATGTTATCTCCCTCAAAATCACCCTTCTCCCCCAACAAGTTATATTCATATTTTTTCAAGGTAAAGTGTTACATTTACTGTATGATTTCATTATTAGATATGAATGTAACATTTATTTAGACTGTGCTATCCTTTGTGTTAGGCTAACTACTAAATTTTTTTCGATTTTGAGTAATCTGCACCAAACCCTATTTTCTCCATAAGCCCTGTTATTTCTATTATGCGAATTTCTATAACACGATGTTTTACAAGAACACAACTATCGCGTTATAGCAGAACTGACTGTATAAAAACAAACAAAAAACACGTATATCGACTCCAAATTACGGGTTGAAAAATAACCATAACGTAGATCACAGCTTAGACTCATCCACTCTGGAGTGCTACTGGGTGGCAAGTCAGTATTTTGGCTACACAAGTTACAGTCCACTGTCTGCATGAGCCCGCACATATGATCACTTGTCACACCTACACACCTAAGCACTTATTTTTTTTTTTTTTATTCACTGGATCCCTCATTCAGCAATAATTTCACTTACTGTAAGGTTTTGAGGAATGCATCTCCATCTTTAAATGAGGGATACCTGTACAGTCCTAGTTACAGTAGATGTAGTTAAAAATGACTGGTCTTTTCCTAGTGGTGAAAACATGGTAAGTAAAAATATTCTCTATTATTTTTTAGAATATACTTTATAGATTTGACATGTAAATACCTGATAATGAGACAGCACACCACATCCCCCTAGTTGCTCATAACCCAAGGATCCCCATATGTGTCAACTCTTAAGAGGAGAGTCCGGCTTTTGGTGTAGGTGGTTTTAATTTTGGTCGATTGTTATAATATTCCTATCATCAATCAAGGATCATATGTACAGCAGCTAAAACAACTATCTGTGCAGACTTTGTGGGAAACAATACAAAACCATGGATGATAAATTTTGGTAAATGAGGGCTGCCACTATTCTCACGTAAAATTTCGGAGCATATCGACCCCCGCCTGCACAGATAGTTGTTTTAGCTACTGTACATCAATTCTAGCCCCATAACCCCCTTCTACCCTTTAAAAATCTTCAACCTTTTACACATTTGTCTAAATTTTCAAGGTGTAATTTCTCCATTACTTATTTCTATTTGCCTAGAAATCGATAGTACTAAGAGATCTAGTATTGCCATTGTTTGTTTTTGTCTTTGGTTTTAAGGATAAAACATTTTCAACTTGGTTGAAATTTTTGTCAAAATAACGAGATTAAATATTCAACCAAAAATAGAACTTACAAGATAGAAAAAATTTAACTTTGGAGTTATGTTGAGGAAATGTTCTTCCTGTACTGAGCGTTTATTTCATTGAAATCGGTCAAAAAATGGCAGAGAAATTTCAATCTGAGTGTTGGAAAAGTTCATTGTGAGATACAGGCCGATAAAGTTTCTCAACCTTTCTCTTCTGTGTAAGTGCTCATTCTGAGCCGATTTTACATGTAATATCTCGTTTTGTTTTGTATTTTTACATCTCAACTGAACTTTTACATGAGGTAGAGGGGAGGGGTGGAAGGCTGGAGCTGGGCCCCCTGAGGCGGCTGTTACTGTCGCTATTTTAGCAAATATTTTCTTCTTTCATCCTCTTGGATTTAGCAGTGCTCTTGGCTTGTGCTTCCTTCAGTTGTCTTTTATGTTTTTAATGACATGCCATCATGATATTCGAGGAGAGAAGCCTGGTACAGCAGTACAAGTGAGGTAAAATGTGCGGTGCAGTGGAGTACACACCTCTCCTTGACAAGGTCTGACACATACTGATGACACATGTTTCTACTACCTCCCTATACTTGTCAGAGTGAAAGAAAGTTGTCTGAAATGAGTTTCTAGAGTCTTTTTTGAGCTATGTATTCCAAATTTTGGGGGAAAAATTTTTACCACGACCAATCATATGTTTGCCCAAGGAAGGTTGGGGGAGGAGGGAAACAATACATACTGCATAAAACTCTGTTCAGATACAGCCACAGGCAACACATTTGCTCGGGAATTTTTTCACATTTTATTATTTTATGTATTTATTTATTTTTTTCATTTTTTATCGACCTAAGCCAGACGCTCCTCTTAAAAACACACATGGTATAACATTAAAATTTACATGAGCAGTCAGCAAGATCTTAGTTATATTAAAAAAAAAAAATCTGTGCTCCTCCAGCTGTGGTTGAAACAGGTTAAAAAAAAACATTCAACATGATCACTTCCTGAAAATGTCACCTTGATGCTTGATTACAAGGTCGAAGTCATAGGTAAGTCAACTTGCACGCCACTAAGTGATTCACATCTGACGGTTCAAGTAAATGTCTTCACTCGGTACATCATTCATCATACCTCTCGCATTTTTACAATATGGCATACTGAGAGTATAGTAGCTCACGAATCTCATAGTAATCTTGACTCAGTGGACCTTCCAGGGATATGCTGCCAGAGTCTTGCTGTTGGTGGAAATCATTCAGTATTAGAATAAAAAAACAAACATTACTTATCTGTCTCTTGCAAGAAAGTAAGCAGTTAATTAAAAAACATACGAGATATAAAGAATTAATCCTGAAATTATCTTCTATAAAAGTCTGGATGGGCAACTCTAGTACTAATTAGGGCAGACCCCAGTCTGAAAAAAACGAATACAGTGATACCACGATTTATGCGGTCAATTGAACCCACAGGATACAGCGTAAAACGAAAACCGCATAAATGGAATAACAGAACATATGGGATTAATTCCAATAGAGACTGGCCCGACCCCCAAACTCCACTTTTTCCGACACAATACCTATGTTGTAGCAAAAATAACAATTTAATTTTATGATGGTATGCATACACAATAAATATTTAAGAGAAATACAGTCGGCAGGTTTATGTCCATTCAAATAATGGACTCAACTCCCGTCCTCCTCCCCTCTCTCTTCCCAAGCTCGCTGGCTCCTCCCTCTCTGAGATATGTTTGGGTGAAAACACTAGATTTTAAGGTATAGTAATAAATAATACCTCAGACTAAAGTTAGGAAAATATAATTGACATTTCTGGATTCCTTGCAGGTCAAGGAATATTTTAAATGTAAACTTCATATATTTTGCACAAAAGATAAAATATTTGCTTTGTGTAAACCAAATTATTACATTAGATCTAAAATTTGTAAGTCTAATGCAAAATCCATGATGTTTATTTTCAAAATGATCATCATATTATAAGAATTCCAGCAATGTAAATTATATTCTGGCCGGGTAATTTGTATGAATTTTATGAGCTAAAACAAATATCTTCACTAAAAAAAAAAAAATATACTTCACCCAGACACTATCTGTCAATCAAAATACCCCACCTCCAGCTCCCCACTCTTCCCACGATCGCTGGGTCTCTCCCTCCCTACCCCCCACCTTCCCTTCCTACCAGAGAAATGTTTGGGAGAAAACAGTATATTTACATTTTTAGTAATAAATAATACCTCAACCTAAAGTTAGGATAATATAATTGACATTTCTGGATTCCTTGCAGGTCAGGGAATATTTTGAATGTAAACGTCATATATTTTGCACAAAAGATAAAATATTTGCTTTGCGTAAACCAAATTATTATATTACAGTGGTCCCTCGGTTAACGAGCACAATCCGTTTTAGAAGGTTGCTCGTTAACCGAAAACTCGTTAACCGAAACCATTGTTTCAATGGGTTTTTGGGTAATTGGTTCCAGCTCACCGAAAATTGCCTAAATTCAACAAAAAAGGTAGGAAAAGTACACTAACTTTGAGGTGTGTATGTAGAAGGCTCCTGGATGATGATGATGATGGGAATTAGAATAAGGTGGAGGAGAAGGGAGAAGAGAAGGCATTGGGGTGGAAGAGAAGTCACCCCATGGTGCCATTTCACCCATAAAATTTTAGTTCTCTTGGTGTAATTCAAGATTATTTTCTTTAAATCAACACTGCACTGCATTATATATTGTTAATATGTAAAATAAATTTCAAAATGACCAATAATTTGCTTGCAAACACAGAAAAAAGCATTTAGTTGAAAAGTCTCAAGCATGATGTTACCTCCACTGAAAAGACACAAAGACTGACGCCTGTATACTGTATTGGCAGGCAGGATGGCATGCCACAAACTAGTGACCCTACCTTCAATTATGTTCAATAATTGTTAAAATGACTAAAAAATTTAATACAGTTGGGTCTCACATTACGCGGTTAATGTAACCCGGAGGGTACCGCGGAAAGTGAGGAACGCGTAAAGTGAACAACATAACATATGGGATTAATTGAAATGGAGTCCAGGCCGATCCCCAAACTCCACTTTTTGACGACACACAACTATGTTGTAGTAAAAATATTATCTTAACTTTATGATGGCATGCACACACAATTAATAATTAAGAGAAATATAAATAATATTAGGTTTTTTAACACTTACATTAGTAGAAAAGATGGCTGGGCACACGGGGATGGGGGGTTGGTTCCGAAGCAGGGGGCAGATTATTGGCCCTCACCTGTATCACTGGTATCAATTGTATCACTATCCACCACAGAGGCTTGCAGGGCCTCTTTGTTAAACCCCTCAAAGTCCATATAAGTCCATATCCTCACTATAATTATCACTATCACTGACTTGGGCCGGTTGTGGTGGGTGGCGGGTAAAGAACTCGGTAATGTTTTGATGACTAGGCGACCTTGTGCGCACCATTTTCGCGCCTCTTACACAACATGGCGGATGGCGGGAGGTTTGGATCCAAAAATGGCGCGGCTTGCCAGCCGCTCTCCGCGTAATGGGGTTCACGACCGCGGAATGTGAGCATGTTAGGTTCTGGCAAGGCACCGCGTTAACGGTGAAACGCGGAATGCGGGACCGCGTAATGTGAGGATTGACTGTATTAAACTTTTAAAATGATTGAATAGTATAAACTTCTTGATATTTACTAAAAGGGTAAGGAATTTAAGCCCTAGAAATGATTACGTATTGGCGGACTAATACTACAGCTGGTGGACCGCCAAATGCAAGCTAAAACATGTGGAAGTCGGCTCGTAAGAAACTCGTTAATCGAGGGATTGCTCGTTAACCGAAGTTAAGAATCTTATGGGAAGGTAACTCGTTAACCGAGGCGCTCGTTAACCAAGGGACCACTGTAGATCTAAAATTTGTATGTCTAATGCAAAATCCATGATGTTTATATTCAAATTGATCATCATATTGTAAGAATTCCGGCAATGTAAATTATATTCTGGCCGGGTAAATTGTATGAATTTTATGAGCTAAATAAAAAAATTATACTTCACCCGCGTATATGAGTAGATGCACCGCGTAAAATGAAATTCTGGTTCTGGCGAAGTACCGCGTAAATGTAGAATCGCGTAAAGCGAAACTGCGTAAATCGGGGTATTACTGTATATGGGTGGGGGGTGGAGATAACACTGCTTATCTGAACTGTTTAGAGAAAATCAGTTGTTGTTATGTTATTACTGCACTTCAACAACTAAGGTCTTTAAGTGTATAACAAGGTTATTAAAAGAAAATTACATCAACAATTAAAAAATATGAAACAGAACTCTCCGGGTTGAAAATCAGACATATAAGTCTGGTTGTCAACAACTGTTGTCACCGAGATGATTGTTATTTACTGTAAGTGTTACATGTAAGTAACAACAGATTTGTCTTATGAATAAAGAGAAAACTGTATACAGTCGGCCCTTAACATACGTGGGTTTAGCATACTCGGATTTGCAAATACGCGGACTTCCCCGCCGGAGGAATATTCTGTACATTGAAGTACCATTTTTTGGCTTGGAAGACGCTGCATCGTGGAAGACGCACCCTGATTTTGGAAATGAAATAAAAAAAAAAAAATAATAATAAAAATAAAAAATTACGGGTTTTAGCCCACCTGGGTACAGGTCACTTACCCACATTGGGGCCTAGGGGGCGAAAATGTAATAATAATAATAATAATAATAATAATAATAATAATAATAATAATAATAATAATAATAATAATAAACAAATACAAATTAAAAAAAAATATCGAGTGAGAAACAATACACCTGTATGTATATTGTGTTGTCAAAGTAAGAGAAACCATTGAGACCCAGCAGAAAGTCAGATCATCAACCTGGGACTTGGTCTCATAGCAGCAGGGTCTACCATTGGACAAAACACTATGCTTCCAATATCTTCCCAAACGGTAGTGCCTCCTTGTTTGGTACATTAGCTGCCTAATACCGACACCAGTGAAACCGTTGCTTGATATACAGCCCTTTTGGCACAAGTACACACACCTCTTTGAATATCATCACTTAGAACTGCTTATCAGTCGTCATTTTCATCAATTTAAAAAAATCTGTATAAGAAGGTGAAATCTTTAATACAGCACTCATTTTATACACCTGGTCACCTCCACATCTTAGGGGCTGTAGTGTTTACATTCCTTCTCTTGTTTTTGTCGGTATGACAACGAAGGGAAATATTTTCCAACAGTAGAAGGTAAGCAAATGTAAGCATGTATATCAACGTCTATATAAAACAAAAAATCTTTATTTAAAAGCAAAATAAAAGTAAAAAACAACTCGTTTTTTGCAAAACCAGTGACTGATTGGTTCTACATAATTATAAAACTGAAGAAAATAAGTCCTCCATCGTAGCTGTATTAAAATTAATGTAGAAAAATTAATATGGTTGTTTTAAGTAATGTTATTTAATGTTAATAAATGGAACAATGGAAGTAGCTAACAATTAAGGGTAAAAAAAAGTGAAGTCGTGTATGTAAGTGAGCACATGTGTAAATATATCATCATTACAGTGAACCCTCACTTAACGCGGTTCTACATTTACGCGGTACCCTGCCAGAACCGGAATTTCCACTTTACGCGGTGCATCTACTCATATACGCGGGTGAAGTATATTTTTTTTTATTTAGCTCATAAAATTCAAACAAATTATCCGGCCAGAATATAATTTACATTGCTAGAATTCTTACAATTTGATGATCATTTTGAATATAAGCATCATAGATTTTGCATTAGACATACAAATTTTAGATCTAATGCAAGTATTTTGTTTACTCAGAGCAAATATGTTATCTTTTGTGCAAAATATATGAAGTGTATATTCAAAATATTCCTGGTCTTGCAAGGAATCCAGCAATGTCAATTATATTATCCTAACTTTTGTCTGAGGTTTTATTTATTACTAAAAATGTAAATATACTGTTATAACCCAATCATTTCTCTGGTAGGGAGGGAAGGTGGGGGTGAGGGGTAGGGAGGGAGGGAGGGACCCAGGGAGCAGGTGGGAAAAGGGGGGGAGGTGGGGTATTTTGATTGACAGATAGTATTTCGGTAAGTATATTTTGTTTATTTATTGAAGATATTTGTTTTAGCTCATAAAATTCATACAAATTACCGGGCCAGAATATAATTTACATTGCTGGAATTCTTACAATTTGATGATCATTTTGAATATAAACATCATAGATTTTGCATTAGACATACAAATTTTAGATCTACTTTAAGTATTTTGTTTACTCTGAGTAAATATGTTATCTTTTGTGCAAAATATATGACATTTATATTCAAAATATTCCTGGTCTTACAAGGAATCCAGCAATGTCAATTATATTATCCTAACTTTAGTTTGAGGTATTATTTATTACTATACCTTAAAATCTAGTGGTTTTCCCCCAAACATTTCTCAGAGAGGGAAGAGCCAGGAGTGTGAGACCATTATTTGAATGGACATTAACTTGGCGACTGTATTTCTCTATGTATGTACCATCATCTAGAACATAGGTATTGTGTCGGAAAAAGTGGAGTTTGGGGGTCAGCCGGTCTCTATTTCATTTAATCCCATATGTTATGTTGTTCACTTTACGCGCAACCTACTGTGCACAGTCATATTATGTGTTAAAAAAATTCCATGAGACCTGCTGGACCACCACTCCATGACCCCTGACGGAGGCACGATGATCCTTCCCATACTGGCCAGATATTATGTGTTAAAGGAATATCCTTTCCTTCCTTAGGCTTTAGTAATCATTTGCCTCCAGGTGTAATGTTACCCCACATCTATTGAGGATAAAATCTTTCACCAACAAATTCACAATAACACATTTGCTGTAATCAGACATATCTAGCTGCCTCAACAATTACAACCCCAGTTGCAATTTTAAATTCTGTGTCATTACTAAGGAATAACGAAGTCTCGGGTGCACTCTAAGATTGCGAAAAAACGGAGGACTCAGGCTTCCTGAAGCGAGAGAAAACGGACTCCTATGATGGGGAACACAAGCACTCACACATGCCACTCATACTGACAGACTTGACACTCACTTACTTGATAAGTTTTACCAACCATTAGTTGTGTGCTTTATCTAGTGAATTTAGTCAATATTGTACAGTACAAGTACACTGCAATACAGTGGTCCCTTGGTTAACAATGGACCTAAGTGCAAACCTGTACTGTACATGTACTAAGTGATTACGGTACTTAAATTGTTATGTCTTTTGCAAATATAGATTGTTTATACAGGTATTCAAATAAATCACTATCTTACAAGAATCCCAGCAATGTAAGTTATATTCACCCAGGTCGTTTGGGTAGCAAATTATGAGAAGAGCTTAGTCACTCTTAAGTAATGATAAATTAACATGCAGGCCTTCAGCGCCAACTGTCAAATCATATCGTCTCCCCCCCTCCCACCCACGCTCCCTCGCGTGGGGGGTTTTAGGCCTTAAGTTTTTCATATATCTCAGACTACATACCATTACTCAACATTTCTTAATAATTTGATACTATTGTTTTCTAATGTTTGTGTCAGTAAGGGATGTGAGATAACGAGGAACTGTTTTCAGATGAGCTCCTCATTCTGGTGTAAGTAGCACTGTTACCTTAGTAGTGCTCATAAGGCATTTAATATTTCTACCAATTTTTTATATCATGTATAACTTTTGTTCCCCAGTGTTGTGTTTTAAGCCACGCTAAGAGGTGCGCATATGTTGGTGTACCATTATTGATTGTGGTTGTAGTGTTGGAGGGAATAGAAGTGTCAAATTTTACAGTGCGTCTCATTCACCCCAATCACAGGTGCTATCTTTCAACGGGTCACGGAGAATATTTTTTAAAGTAATTGTGTTTGTGCTGGTTCGGGTTTTTCTCAAAGGAGCGCTTCCACTGCATTACCATCCACTATAATAAAAATCCCCAAGTGAGAGAATTCCGACCGGTTATAGCTACTCCCCGACTTACAACGGGGTTAGGGACCCAAATCCAGGTGGTAAGTCGAAAATGCTTAAATAATACATAGAAATTCTAAAATGAGTGTCTCTTTTTCTTCTCAGCACCACGAACTCTAACTTTTACACTTGTCAGCCATTTTAAAGGGAATTACCAAAAAAAATTTTGTCAGTACAGGTAGTTCTCCTATAACGCGATAATTGTGTTCATGTAAAATATCGTGTTATAGAAAATCGCGTAATAGAAATAACAGGGCTTATGGAGAAAATAGGGATAGGTGCAGATTACTCGAAATCGAAAAAATTTAGTAGTTAGCCTAATACAAAGGATAGCACAGTCTAAATAAATGTTACATTCATATCTAATAATGAAATCATACAGTAAATGTAACACTTTAGTTGATGGGGGAGAAGGGTGATTTTGAGGTTGATAAAATCGAGCTTCTCTTCAAGTGTTATATCCTTTCTTTTACGATCATCACCGGGAATTCTATCACCAGAACGCTTCTCGTTGATATTCTTTACTATATTCACAGTTAATACAGTGGGGTATGCTATAATTAACGAAACTCCTACAACGAACATTATTTATTTTATTTTATTTTTTTTCTAATTTATTGTTTTTTTATTACAAATATTAATGATATTCTTTATTTCAGGGATTTAGATGCATATTTATGCACTTTTTTACAATTTTTACAATTCTATATTATATTTTTCAGTGTTAAGTGGTTGTATTTGGGGGCCTGGAACGGATTAATCCTATAACGAACGAATGCTATAACAAACAAGGTTCTAGAACCAATTAAATTCGTTATAGCATACTCCACTGTACCACAAAATTGGAGAAATAGTAAGCAAAAATCGAGTTATAGCAAACAAGCGTTCGCGTTATACAAATATCGTTCCTAATTCATAAATCGCGTTAGAGCAAATTCGCGTTATCAAAACACGCGTTATAGCAGAACTCACTGTACACAGTGCGATCAGTAACGTCGGTTCTAGAAAATACGTAATTTGAAAAATATTTTATAAAACCACGACGGTCGTATGTCGGGGTTGTCGTAAGTCAAGAGGTACCTGTACTGTAAATGTATATCTCATAAGTATCAAGTCAGGTCAGTAACATGAAACTCACTAATCCCCCACAGCTGTGTGCAAGTGGAAAATACCAGTTTTCACTTTAACACAGCTTCATTCATGAGGCACACCAGTATCATATAAAGGTTTACTTTTTTTTTATCATTATTATATCCGTTAGCCAGAATCCCTCAAACCCGGATCTCTCCGATAGCTGGAATTGAAATTTTCTCAGATAATCTTTCCCAAAGCCTGAATTTCCCGGAAAATTCCAGCTTTGGGAATTATTTTCCGAGGAGCACATTTTCTGGAAAATTCCAAGAAAAGTCTCCCAGTACCCGGAAAATTCCGGGGATGAGAAACTGTTTTCTGGGTTTGAGAGATGAAAACCAGGCGTATTTCAGATTCTCGGAAAACTTTCCCCAGAACAGTTCCCAGAAAAATTACAGGGACGAGAAATTCTTCTCAATATCTGGAGATCTCTCATTCCCAGAAGAGCTTTGCACAAATTGCTCCAGCTAACAGGGTTATCACTTCTACATAACTTGGCATTACTATATGTTACTTTATTATCATAATTTGGGGGGGGGGGGAAGTGGTACTGTACTGTCTTGAAAAATTTACCAAAAATCTGTTCTAGTAATGTTCACAGAATTTTTCCAATACTGTATTTACAGTAAATGTCCAGTTTTTGTCGGTTTCCGGGAAAGTAGAATATTCGGTAAAAAGGAACAGAACCTGCACCAATGTATTTGACTACAAGTTGATTTACTGTATGATATGCAAAGTGGTAATTTCTTGAGAAAAAATGTATCTGGATTCAACACCAGAGTTCTTATGTTTACTAACAGAACCCATATCTTCTTTACACATCAATGTCACAGTTAACCTCCAGGATTCAAACAATGGAACACAACACATCATCTAATAACCTACTAGACCCCATTCAGTTAGGTGTTATCCGATTTTACAGAGAATAAAAAAGAATCAAGAATATATAAAGGTACTGTAGGTAAGAAGCCTCCAATACAACAATAAACAACTTACTTTTTTTAGAGCTAAAGTTCCATTGGCACACCAGAGAATGCCAGCGTTGAACTCAGAACTAATTCCCGCTCGACTGAGAACTTGCTTGAATTCACTTAGTCGAATGTCGTTAATGAACACAGGAATATGTGGAAGTGCCTGAGTATAAGAAAAAAATTAAATTTGGTTTTTCCCAAACAGTTAACAATGAATCAATTATACACCAATCAACCTCCCAGTAAATTATTTCAACCAAGCTCAATGAGATAACAACCATTCAATTTGCAGACAATTAATTGATCATTCTAACAAAATTTAGTGAGAATATCGAGCTATATTACTGTTGAAGCATACTGTAGGTAGATTAAGTGTTAACATGGTTTATATACCTAGAATGTAAGACACAGTAATGTAGCTTGAGCAAAATGTTACCGGTACAGTATTGTTATGCCCATCATGCAGGGGTAGAAATTCACCATTTTTTTCATAGTCGCCAGCAGGACTAGTAGATCTGAAAATTTACTAATCCTTATAAATTTTTACTAGCCCTTAAACAATTTGTCAAGAAACATTAAACATTGGCGCTTAACGGGTTTATACAAAGTTCTATTTACTGTGTGACATTTATTTACTAGTAAAAACCATGTTAAATCATAAACCAACACTGGAATAATCACATATTAACTACATTATTAACATGAAGCATGGATTTACAGTGTGAACACTGGAATAATCACATATTAACTAAATTAATTGCATGGAGCACATATTTACTGTGTGACATTTATTTAGTAGTAGAAATCTTAAACCAACACTGGAATAATCACATATTAACTAAATTAATTGCATGGAGCACAGATTTTGCATTGCATTTGAACAAGCATTTCCTGTACATGCTCCTCGTTCAACTCATTGTTGTCGTCCAGATCTTCCACTGTGCTGCAGCCAGCAGTGTGAGTGTAGCCATCCACACGGCGGGCCCCAGTTGTTAGGAATCTGGCAATGGCTTTGTCCGGATTGAAATTTCCAACACACTCTGTTTGCAACTGAACCACCATGAGATCCGTCAGGTGGTCATCAGTGAGACGACTGCGCCAGTCTGTCTTAATGAGTTTGACCTGTCTAAAACCACATTCAGCATCAGTCGAACTAGCTGGACTGGAAAGCAGTAGGTCAACCAGATGGAGAAATGAGGCACACCTTTCTCTGTATGATTGGTTGATTTGTTGCCAAGACAGTCTTGAAACAAGTGATGTCTTACTCTTGTAAATATAACTTTTGAGCATAGTCCATTCATCCTCTACCAAAGTAGGATTCACCTCTGCCTCCATCAGTGTTTTCTCAAGAGCCTGGGCCAATGCTTGCACAGCGCTATCCCCGAAATCTCCATTCCCACTGTACTCTGCAGGCCACAATTTGAAATTCAGAATCCATGCATTCTGGAGAATCGTACTGGCCATGTCAATAAATCTTTTGTTTAGACTTGAAATCGGTGATGTCAGCATATCATGCCTTGCAGTCTCGAAAGTGTTGCTTCTACCACTCAGCTTCTCTCCTTGGAACATGGTCGAGTCACCCTCCATAATCCTTCTCAGGCTAGGTCCTGGCCAAGTCAAATATTTGTTAAGTACATCAACTACAGTCTGAATTTCATTCAAGATAGCAGAAATATTGGTTTGACCAAACAGCTCTGAGAGGCACCGCACCACATCCAGTAGGAGGTGAAGGTACTGGACTATGTTAGCACTGGTTAGAAGGAGCAGGTAGTTCTTAGCTTTTCTGGATAAATTCTTGTGGTAAGCGGGATCATCAGGGTTCTGTATCTGCTGCATGTGGAGTACAATAGTCTTGTAACTCTTCAGTAGATGCTCCAATGCCTGCAACATATGCGGGAGCCACCTTGTACCACCCACACGTGTTAGAACCAGAAATGGTACCTGACATGTCATGAGCATGCTTCAACATGCTCCTGTTGAGAGAACTCTTTTCATAGAACACGTATATGTCTAGCAGCAGTAAGTCAACCTTTTCGGCTAGTGGAACATCCTTTACTGCAAACTTGTATTCTACATTATATCATTGAGTGTATATATTTTATTTTCATTTTCATATAAAGTGTTGTATACAGAAAATGGGTATCCCTTCCGCTTGCAATACCGGTAATACAGTTAAGATAACTAGCATTAATAGTGTATTCTCTATAAGCTCTTGTACATATTGAGTGTGTCTTACCACTGTCATCGGCCCACTCGCCCATCGGGTGATCCCAGACCAGCAAAATAGTAAAATCTTGTCGCTCTTATGATATTTTTGTCGCCTAGGGTGACCGAGCGTATGTGAATTTCTACCCGTCATGTCAGGTGACTGTCATATTTTCCATTAGTGTAAAACCTAATATCAAGAGAAATTTTGAGATTAATAAGATGTTACCTGTTCTTTTGAGATGACCCTGAGTGTTGCCATGTCACTATCCCGCTGGTTCTCACTTGAGATAACTGCAATGTAGAATATAATATTACCTTAGATTCTTACAGAAGAATGGTTAACTATATAAACAACACCATAAGAAAATATATGACTAACCCAATCTTAATCTGAACAATTATTTCTCAATATGAAACAGGAAGGAGGGGAAGTTTGGGAAGATCTAATACTGTATTCAAATTTTCTACAAATAACATGGCCATAAAGGAGATGGGGGGTGTCTCCCTATGTGGGCTGAGAAGATCATGAAACTAAAAGCTTTTTCAAAGGAGGCTAAGAACAATACTGTTTAGAGCTACCGGGGCAGGTCTCAATACATATATACTGTACGCACAGAGTACCTCTGGCAGAGATGGATCCCTTCCAAGGTTATGGCCTTTACATTTTATTAAATAATGTACGTACAGTGATCCCTTGGTTAACAAGCGCCTCGGTTAACGAAATTTCGGTTAACGAATTACCTTCCATAAGATTCTTCGCTTCGGTTAACGAGCAATCCCTCGGTTAACGAATTCCTTATGAGCGCCCCTCAACATATTTTCGCCTGCTAACTAGCTGTAGTATTAGTCCGCCAATACAGTAATCGGTTCTAGGGCTTAAATTCCTTACCATTTTAGTAAATATCAAGAAGGTTGTACTATTCAATCATTTTAAAAGGTTTATATTAAATTTTATAGTCATTTTAACAATTATTGAACATAATTGAAGTACAGGAAACTAGATTTATGAGCGCCAAACAGCCACTCAACACACCAAGTTTGGCGTCAGTTTGTTTACAGGTTCAGAGGAAGGAACATCTTGTTTGACTCTTCAACATAAATGCTTTTTTCTGTTTACAGTCAAATTATTGGTCATTTTGAAATATATTTTACATATTGATAATATATAGTGCAGTGCAGTGTTGATTTAAAGAAAATAATCTTATATTACACCAAGTGAACTAAAATTTTATGGGTGAAATGGCAGCATGGGGTGACTTCTCTTCCACCCCAATGCCTTCTCTTTTCCATTCTCCTCCACCCCCATTCTAATTCCAATCATCATCATCATCATCAACCAGGAGCCTTCTACATGCACACCTCAAAGTAAGTGTACTTTACTGCATTATTTTTCGTTTGTATGTAATTTTCGGTGAGATGGAACCAATTACCCAAAAACCCATTGAAAAAATGGTTTCGGTTAACGAATATTTCGTTTAACGAGCAACCTTCTGGAACGAATTGTGCTCGTTAACCGAGGGACCACTGTACTGTAAGTTTCTATCTTTTTATTTACCTTAACACCATCCCAGCCACTGTGATAGTACACTTATTCTCCATAATAAATATATTACTGTACCTGTACTTATCAGATACATGACAAAACTGTAAACAAAGTTAACAAAGTCAACATCTCTAATAAATATATTACTGTAGTAATACACTGATTCCCATTATATAATTGTAGAAGTATTCAGTGAAAAAATCCTATTCTGTACTGTACTGAACCCCTGATGAGTTATTGTACCATTCTAAGAATTCACTGCTTTGCTTGAAAACACTGCCATCAGTCAGTTGATGATACACCCACACTCTCTCTTGTTTACAAGGTGAAAACACTGCCATCAGTCAGTTGATGATACACCCACACTCTCTCTTGTTTACAAGGTGAAAACACTGCCATCAGTCAGTTGATGATACACTCACACTCTCTCTTGTTTACAAGGTGAAAACACTGCCATCAGTCAGTTGATGATACACCCACACTCTCTCTTGTTTACAAGGTGAAAACACTGCCATCAGTCAGTTGATGATACACCCACACTCTCTCTTGTTTACAAGGTGAAAACACTGCCATCAGTCAGTTGATGATACACCCACACTCTCTCTTGTTTACAAGGTGAAAACACTGCCATCAGTCAGTTGATGATACACCCACACTCTCTCTTGTTTACAAGGTGAAAACACTGCCATCAGTCAGTTGATGATACACCCACACTCTCTCTTGTTTACAAGGTGAAAACACTGCCATCAGTCAGTTGATGATACACCCACACTCTCTCTTGTTTACAAGGTGAAAACACTGCCATCAGTCAGTTGATGATACACCCACACTCTCTCTTGTTTACAAGGTGAAAACACTGCCATCAGTCAGTTGATGATACACTCACACTCTCTCTTGTTTACAAGGTGAAAACACTGCCATCAGTCAGTTGATGATACACCCACACTCTCTCTTGTTTACAAGGTGAAAACACTGCCATCAGTCAGTTGATGATACACCCACACTCTCTCTTGTTTACAAGGTGAAAACACTGCCATCAGTCAGTTGATGATACACTCACACTCTCTCTTGTTTACAAGGTGAAAACACTGCCATCAGTCAGTTGATGATACACCCACACTCTCTCTTGTTTACAAGGTGAAAACACTGCCATCAGTCAGTTGATGATACACCCACACTCTCTCTTGTTTACAAGGTGAAAACACTGCCATCAGTCAGTTGATGATACACTCACACTCTCTTTTGTGTTGATGGCAATATCCACAGCTCCTAACTTTTGTTCACTTCCACATTCCACACTTTCTCTTTCAACTCTACAAATGGCACATCTACACATCACACCTGAAAATAATCACCTGATTTCAATGAGACGTAATAGTAAAGACTAACCTTGCCTGTCCCCCTCTTGTACTGTTTCATTAATGTTTTCAGTGGGGAAAGAAACACAGCCATCCACCCAAGCTACCTCCATGTCTCGCCCTGCAGGTTGTAGCATCAGCGATGAGACTAGTGACTCAGCAAGCTTGATCTAGAACATCGTATTTCAGATCTAAATTTCTGTTGTCACAAGAATTAATAATGAGAATGTGGATAAGTAGTAGGGAGGCCTATGGTGATGTGCAGTATATGAGAAGGAAGGTGTGATTGTGAAAGACCTTGATATAGAATGATAAACTAAGGAATCCAATGACACTATTTTATGAAACAATGGTCTGATGTCTAATCTCTAACCAAAGGGCAAGGCTCTATACAGTATACAACTTCTTTGTTACATTAGCAGGTCTGTCTTTAGGCAATTCCCATCCCTGGGAAGTAAGTCTACCAACTTATTGCTCCAAAACAGCTTTTAAATTCAACACTGGCACACCCAAAGGAGCACCAGGTAGTCTTGCTGCCAGTGACACAGGCAGGTAATGGTTAACAGATGGTCACAGTCACTGATAAAATATAGAAAAAAAGACATACAACTGGAGACACAGAGTTAAGTAAACTTACCTGGTAGATGTGAGACTCCATGGAGGCATTGACCACTTGCCCGAGGCTTGGAGTGAACACCTTAGCTCGAGTCATGCTACGGATGTTCTCGGAGAAAGCTAGCAGGTCAGTTTGGGACCCTCTCACCAGGATCACTCGCAGAGGATGCATGGACTAGGGTAAGGCAAAGATCTTTAAAACTATCAAAATAAGATGATTATTTTTTGTAAACAATGATAGAAATATTTTCTAAACAAAAAGGTTTCCTTAAGGAAACAGAAAATTATATTGCTTTAAATTTATGAAAAGTCACTTTTCTCACTGATAGCAAAAAGACAGTTCTCCAATGACATTTGGATCCTTTAATAAATGATAGTATAATTAAGACATTGATATATCATGATAAAGAGAATTGGTCATAACAAGAAGATGAAAATTGGGATGTTTTAAACATTCTAAATAAAATATAAAGTTAAATAATACAGCAATTGTAAGGAGTTTTTGGTGTGCTGGTGTGTATGTGTACACTCGCTCCTAGAAGTATCTTTACAATTTTGTTTGAGACAATATGACCCGTTGGAAAAAGGACTTTCACAACCCTACCAAGACAACAGGACTCATAGTGATCATTTTGAATTCCATGGGACCTCTCCATAAAGAAACCTTCAGAAGCAAGTGTATATAAACAAACTATTTTGGTACAATACAAGTATTATAAGTTCTTTTCAAGACCTTCACATTGAAAAAAGCAAAAACTTACTTTTACTGGCATTACATAAGTTGTGAAACATGCAAGGACAAGATGGATATCTACAGGATAATACTATAAAGTTGAGTGGTGAAAGGTAAGTGTGTGTACAGTAAAATTCAGAGGTACAGTAGATGAAAGAAGGAAGTGAGAAAGTCAAAGAGGGCTGGGTGAAACAAGTGCAGTATTTCTCACCATAAGAGGTCCACCAACATGGAATACTCACCCTAATTTATCAATGAACATCAGGAATAAAATTTTTGAAGCAGTTGCAGCTTCTTCATCAGTGCTAACAAATCTTAGTGTGTTAAATTACCTTAAATCTACTACAGTGTTTCTCCACAGGTGGATATAGTGTAGGGGCTACCTATTGGTCGACAACTTAATCTGATAAAGAATCATAGAGCACACACACAAAGTCTCACCTCCACAATTTTCCGTATACTTTCTCCATCACTACGACCCTCAAAGTCAATAAAGAGCACCTGGGCTGCAACTCTTACAGTCACTGTCTGCGACACACACTTGGATGGCACCTCTTCCATGTCTGAAATATTTAAAAAAATTAATATAATAAGTCTTGTGAACATGATAAATCTCCTGACTTTAGCTTATTAGAAAACATAAGGTAAGTTATAATATGAAGTCCCAAGACTCACTCAAGAATAAAGTAAAAGAACAAAGTTAGACAAATTTATGTGAAATTATACAAACAAATAAAACATAAGTCACCAGAATCATCTTCACTTTTAACTCATAATCACAACACCAACAACTCCATTTTCCAACAAATACATTTCCTGTACACAGACAAAGTTCCCTCTGAAAAACCAGCACGTTCATCGTGGCTAACCTGAGCACATTAGCCAGCTCATCAAGCAACAGCTCAATAGAGCAAGTCCTGGGCCGTGCCAAGCAATATGTGTGATATACAAGGGTCACAAATTTCAGTGATAATGTTACTCACCTTTTATTACACTGCCCTGGACTCAGCAAGGTCGGCAGCAAATGTATTCAAGCATTCACTGTGTTGAATGTCTGAGTGAATGCTTTAACACAAAATATGTCTCCTACATCATTTGTTGTTATATGTCAGCTTATATTTTACAACTGTCAATTCAGATTACAAAACTTTATTTATTGACCTTCATACATCACCAGCAACTGAGAAACTGTCCATTTGGACAGAAAATACTGTACTGTACTATACTGGACTGTATAAGTGTATATGCATACTATACAGTATTTCATATTCATGTCAATGACAATTCACAAAAGGCAATAAAATATTAATTCTGTACAATAGGCCCTTCACATATGCGGGCTTAGCATACACGGATTCGCAAATACGCGGATTGCCCCGCCGGAGGAATATTCTGTACATTGAAGTAATTGAAGTACATTCAAATCGCGCGCAGCACCGCACACCGCCCGCCACCCCACACACGCGTCACGCCACCCCGCGCTCCCTCACTCATTCAGTCTCGCTGTAACCACGCTTGGGTTGACATCAGCATTGTAGGTCGACCCTGATTTTTTTCTAAAAAAATCGTTAATTTATGATATTCCTTATTCATAGGTCGACCCAAGTTTTTGAGGGTATTGGAACAACAAAACCTTCAGTAAAAACACTCTACGTCCTATAAACTGAGGCTCGCTGTGCCTGAAACACAGAGTGCCAAAGGCAAATTGTTTACCATTTATTATTAAGACACTTTACACTGAAGTGCGGGTAGTTTCAACAGAAATATTGTATATTTCCATTCAAATATTTATTCAAGTCAATTAGGAGGGAATATTTTTGTAATACAACAGTTTTTTAACTGAAAACCAGTACTGCACACTAATGTACAAAAATTTTATCTCTTGAGCAAAATATATGACGTTTATATTCAAATTGTTGGCTGTCTTGCAAAGATTCCAGCAATGCAAATTATAATCTCCTAACTTTAGTCCGAGATATTATATAAGATAAAAACTGTAAGCCTAAATAAACCCCTGGCTGAGCAGATTAGGGAGGGAGGGAGGGATGGAGCCAGCCAGCCAGCCAGCGAGGGGTAGGGGGTGGGGTGGGTTGAGGTGATATGTTTGACAGTTTGAGCCGAAGGTCTCTGTGTGTTTATTTAACAGTCCTACTACACTTCTCCCATTTTAAAATGCCACTGAAATGGCCTGGGAGAAAATAATTAACATTGCTGGGATTCTTGTAAGACACCGATTAATTTGAATAGCAACATGCTCTAATTTGCACCAGGCATAACAATTTTAGTACCAAAATGAAATTAGTACATGTACACTCCAGCTTTGCACTAAGGTCATTTATTTCTTTTAGTACAGTCTGTGCATGTAAATGGATGAAAATAAATGAATAAATTTATGTAAATCTACCCAAAAATACAGTTGAAAACTTTATACTGTATTATAAAATGTACTACACAGTATTGTACACTAGTGTACTACATTTTTATATCTTGAGCAAAATATATGACGTTTATATTCAAATTATTGGCTGTCTTGCAAGGAGTCCAGCAATGCAAATTATAATCTCCTAACTTTAGTCTGAGATATTATATAAAATAAACACCTTAAAGAATAAAGTTACCGGTATCACAAATCTTTTGTCTGGGAACACAAGGAGGGAGGTAGCCAGCGAGCATGGGGGGGTGGGAGGTGACAGTGTGGTGTTTGTTTATTTATTTGAGATAGGATGTGACAGTTGGCACTGAAGGCCTACTGTTTATTTATCATTAAATAAGAGTGACTAAGCTCTTCTCATAATTTGCCACCCAAACGACCTGGGTGAATATAACTTACACTGCTGGGATTCTTGTAAGATAGTGATTTATTTGAATACCTGTATAAACAATCTATATTTGCAAAAGACATAACAATTTAAGTACCGTAATCACTTAGTACATGTACAGTTCAGGTTTGTTCCACGGTAAAATCTTTTGAACAACGAAAGAAAGCAAAAGTCATTGTTTTCGTCATGATTTTATCCCACTTTCCATTGAAATATGTACGTCATTTCTGCAAAAATATTACATTTACATATTTATTTCTGAGAATATATTCATTCAGTCACAGTTAAGGTAAAATATACTTGTGATGTAATAATTTAATGAAAATACCCGGTATTTAGAAATACGGCATCGTAGTTTTCTTTTGTTTCAAATTTAATTAACAAAGATTGATGTTTCAAACGTAATGAACAAAAATTTATGTGCAGTATCTATAAATAAACTTTAAAAAATTAATACTTTGTTTTACATCGTCCTGTGCATACCATACCAAGCATTTGGCTACTTTGGGCTTGCTATGATGACGCAAGAGATCTGCCCTGGCAACTGTACCGACACTCACAGCTAGTGGTGCGTTGGTGTGTCGATTCCATTGTTTACTGGAAGTTACTGGTAAATATTTTTCAACCTAACGAAACTATTACCCGTTTAGAGGTCTACCCCCAATTTTTTGCCAAATAATTTGGTCTAAAAAACTCGAACTACACACAGGTATATACGGTAAATAAGGACATGGGGGGGCCAGGGTTTTTTTTTTTTTTGGGGGCTGCAAAAGTACACGGATTTTTAACATTCACGGGTATCTCTGTTACCTAACCCCCGCGTATGTTAAGGGCCGACTGTACAAGTAATATCTCCAATAGCCGGAGTCCCTCATAGCCAGAACTATTCAATAGGCAGAATTTAAATTTTGTCATACCCGTTTTTGTATCACATTAATTGTTTCAATTAAGTTTTGGAACTCTTTAAGTGGCAGGGTTTGATGTAAACACTTATACCTGTTTTCTTGGGTCTATTGTAGAAGCAGCTATAAACACAGATATTATCTGAGAGAATAAATTATGAATTCTCTCCAGGGAAGTGTTGTGAATAACACTTGAGTTATGTGTCTCACTTCCCTGTCCAAGTGGTAATTATCAACTGACCTCTCTCTATCTGAAAGGGGCATGGGAGCGAGTCGGCTGTTTTGATTAATCAGCTGACCTGTACTCGACCTTTGAGAGAGTTACAAGGCCAGCTGTTTGTCGCCAGTAACGGGTCAACTCATTTGTTGAATAACTTGATGAATAACTTGGTGTTATTCATTTGGGTGAATATTTACATAAAGCAAAGGTTATGTTACAATTTGCTTTTAAAATTTCCAGAAAATTTCTCTTAATTCGGAGTTTGGGAACAATTTTCCGAGGTTGAAAATCAGGCGCACTTTCTTAAAATTTTTAGAAAATTCCGGAAACACTCTAATTTTATTTTCCGAGTCTGGGAGGAAATTACAAGGATGAAATAATGCACAATTTCCGGAATATTTCGAGAAACATTTCACCGATACCCGGAAAATTCCAGGGATGGGGGATTTTTTCTGGGTTTGAGAGAGTCGACTCGTTACCCGGAAATCTCCCATTCCCGTAAGTGTTCTGCACCAAGTGTTGTGGCTAACAGGGATATATCACTGTACAGTAATTTTGAAATATCTTGCTAGCAGACATTGCACCCACTAATCCTGTCATCTAATGAGGTGGGGGAAATTATGTTTTCTTCAGCCAATTGAATGTTTCTTTGTTTGATATTTATTTACTAAAACCCTTAAAACTCATTTAGTGAAACTTACAGTATTAAAAGAAAATTTATGCTTCTTTAAGAAATGAAACATTAAAGACATGCCTAATGTTTTTACACTGAAGGATGCACTCCAGTACTGTGGGTACAGCACTGGACAAACAACCAGTGAGGAACAGAATAAAGTAAACATTTCTTAAGATACCATTTTTTCCCCCTTCAACACTAGTTCAATCATTCCAAAACACTTTTAGACAAACTATATGTTCACTACATTGTCGGCCATCCGTGATGTCTTGAGAGCGACTGAATCGGAACTCGTGATACAGCCACAGTGTCCAAGTCATCACCTGCTCAATATTATCAACAATTTTCCATTAAAATTGGCCAGTCATTGACATTACTGTATTATTATTGTAGTGCAGTAAAATATTTACCTCGCGAGTTATGGTTATTGTTATTGTATACAGTACAGTACAGGTAAATTTGGTAATGACATATGCTCAATTTTATATTTTTGGATATTTTGAAAATGTATTCCCCACATACACTCAGGGAAGGGAGTATAGTTGTGGATAAAAATACTGTACAGGTACAGAGGGAGGGGATGTATGGGAAGGTAGGGGTAGATGGAGACTTGGCGCTGTCATACAGACATTGAGATCAAAAGTCTGCAATTTCTTTTCACAATTTTTTTTTAAGTTTAATTATGAGGAAGGAGCAGCTTAAACTAACAATGAACAATGTATTGTAAATAACTCAATACACCAAAATAACCCCCCCCCCCAAAAAAAAAACACACATAAAAGTTGAGTGTTTGAGGAGGCCTTTCACCACCACCCTGATGCTACACTGTCAAGTCACCACTGTCATGGGTTGCGTTAAGTCTACCAACGCAACCCAACTCCAATGTTTGTTTTACGGAAGATACGACACCAGGCGAGCCGTGACTTCGTCATTATTATTTCATTAGTGGGTATGTAAGCCAGTCTATGGGGGGGCAATTGAGACAGCGTTGAATTGTTCATCATGTCATTTTTAGCCAGTGGGCCTTAGACCATGGGTTAGTAAAGACCTCCTGCTCCATAGACTTAAGAACAGGGGTCATACAGTGCTACCACGACACTATCCAGAGACTGTCAGTGCTACGAGTTTGTGTGTGCAAACCTCCAAGATTGTTATTAGGTCTAGCGACTAAGCATCCTGCAAAGAAAAAGGATCACTGGTGATGGCCTGCTTGCTACAAGAGCACACCAGGCCGGCCTAGTAAATTTAAACGGTTAATTTTCCAAGTTGACAAACTTTCCCTTATAAAATTATGGCATGAATGTGAATGAATCACCTACCCATGCAAATTATAAGTCATTGTATGGAACTGTGCCAAATAAACGTAAGTGCAATTATCTGCCCGTATCTGTGATCCCTATCTTATGATTACTAAAGGTAATGACTGATTGGTTATGACTTAGAAGGATGTTGGAAATTAATGAAATTCATTAAATCATCATTTATCAACTATACAACACAATAAATGTTGGAAGTGGAGTGAAATTCTACGTAGTGATACATCATAATCTCCTGGGTGAGCAACCAGTGTGAAAGTATCTGAACCCTATGATAAGAAAAATACATTCCTGCATTTATATCGTGACGCCTCCTCCCATAAATCACTTCCCTCCATGATAAAGTCTTTATGTCCCCAACTGTACATCATAGTGGGCAAGTAAAAAGAGATATACAGTATTAACTAAATTTCATGAAAAGGGAGAAAAAGATAATAAAAGAGTAAAAGAAGTGGAACTAGGAAGTAAAGCAATGAATCAAGAATTGTAGTGAGAATAATACAGACAGACAACAGACAGAAGAATTTGTTCCCTTATATAATGCTGTTACTCACTCATAATATCTTCCTCCTCATAAGACAGTTACTCACCCATAATGTCTTCCTCCTCATAAGACAGTTACTCACCCATAATGTCTTCCTCCTCATAAGACAGTTACTCACCCATAATATCTTCCTCCTCATAAGACAGTTACTCACCCATAATATCTTCCTCCTCATAAGACAGTTACTCACCCATAATATCTTCCTCCTCATAAGACAGTTACTCACCCATAATGTCTTCCTCCTCATAAGACAGTTACTCACCCATAATATCTTCCTCCTCATAAGACAGTTACTCACCCATAATATCTTCCTCCTCATAAGACAGTTACTCACCCATAATATCTTCCTCCTCATAAGACAGTTACTCACCCATAATATCTTCCTCCTCATAAGACAGTTACTCACCCATAATGTCTTCCTCCTCATAAGACAGTTACTCACCCATAATGTCTTCCTCCTCATAAGACAGTTACTCACCCATAATGTCTTCCTCCTCATAAGGAATCTGTAGATCTAAATTCTCTTTGTTTTCCTCCTTCATGGATGCTATGTCAAAGTCCTCTAGGTTAATGAACTCTCCATAGTCATCTCCTCGTACCTGAAATACACCCATTGGTGGATGGAGTTAGTGCACAGGAGAGGTTCAAGATGCATCAACACACCACTGTGGGATATGGACTGATAAAGACCTCTTATTAAGATGATTACATTATGAAAGACAAAGTGAAACTGGGGAAATTTAAAAGTCAACAGGAAAGTGAACGTTTCTCTTCAATGTGTTATCAAACCAAAGTCATGGCATAAAATTCCCAAGCATTTAGTGTGGACAAACAGCTGGGTAGTCAGATGTTATGACTAACATGACCTTAAAGTTCCTGTGTATAAGATGGAGTGAGTCAGTATAGGCATGATTAAAGTACTGTACAAGGATAAGTTCATAGAGTCACAGGAAGATATTAGACTAAGTACAGTTGGAGAATTGGGTAAAGTACTGCAAAAGAAGATAATAAGGTATCAATAAGTGACAAAGTGAACAGTTGTGAAGCATTTGGGTGAATGTAAACTGTCCAAGATTATTCTCATTCAATGCAGTACTCAACATGAACTGTGAATAAATGTATTTATTGGTTTGGTGAGCTTCTTCCCTTCCATATTATAGTCATAAAAGAAGTAAAAATAACACTTAAAACACTCCAAACTCAGATGGTAGTAACTCAATTGATCTCATAATCAAAAGAAGTCACCCTAAACATGAGTTTAAAGAATGAAAATAAAATACAGTGGTCCCTCGGTTAACGAACGGTTCGATTCACGAAATTTCGGTTAACGAATTAGCTCTCATACAGATCTTCAATTCGGTGAACAAACAAAACTATGATTCACGAAATCCTTACGACAAACACGTTTTGTTGTGAGCATCAGCTGATCGGCTAGTCCGCCAATACAGTAATCGGTTGTATGTTTACATTCGTTTCCAGTGGAGTAAATATCAAGAAAGTTGTGCTCTTTAATATTTTTGCATTTTTTATATTAAAATTATTAGTCATTTTAACATTTATTTAACATATTGATAATATATGCAGTACAGGGAAGTAGTTTTTTGTGTGCCCATCAGCCGCTTAGCTCACCCACCAAAGAGTCTGTTTAACTTTGTTTACAGTGGAGTGAACATCGATTTTGTTGGAGTCTTGAATATTTTTGCATTTTTACATTAAAATTATTGCTCATTCTGAAATTTAGTTAACATATTGATAATATATAGTGCAGTGCACTGTTGATTTAAATATAATAATCTTGAATTACAGCTAGTAAACTTAAAATTATAGTGGTGAAATTAATGCATCAAGCATGGGTCCCCTGAAAGGTGATTTCTCCACCATCCTCACTTCCTTCTCTTCTCCCTTCTCCTCCACCCCCACTTCTAATTCCCATCATCATCATCATCATCAACCAGCAACCTTCTAAATACACACCTCAAAGTAAGTGTACTCTACTGCAATTTGTTTATGCTTTGTATGTATTTTTCGGTGACCTGGAACCAATTACCCAATATCCCATTGAAATAATGGATTCGGTTAACGAAATTTTCGGTTAATAAACAACTCTGTGGAACGAATTGTGTTCGTTAACTGAGGGACCACTGTATACAAAAACACCAAATTAGTCTTTTCTCATCTTACCTTTTCTTCATGAAAGGGAAACATGGGATGATGTTTGCGACTACGGAACATACTCTGGGTACCAGCCTTCTCGTGTAGCACGATGATGTCATGCTTGCCAGCTTCCAGTCCTTCCTCACCTTCACTATCACTGGATGACTCCACCCTAACCCATCAAGAGGAAATATATCTTAATTATCTATAAACTGCCAAGCACTGCTAATATTCTAAACAAAAAATAAATATCAAGGATTGACCATGAAATGTTCTTTTTTATGGCACTCACACTGGTGTCAGCCGTAGTTAATGTTAAACCCAATACAGTACTGCTAGCTTCACATGAGAACAAAGCAGCAGGGAGGTACTGGGAAGATACCTGTATTGGAAGCATGATGTGTTGTCTGGTGGTAGACCCTGCTGCCATATGTGACCAAGTAACAGGTTGATGATCTGACTTTCTGCCTCATTTACACACAATTGCAGGGTCTCATTTGTTTCTCTTACTTTAACAACATAACATACATACAGTCGGCCCTTAACATACACGGGGGTTACGTAACAGAGATACCCGTGAATGTTAAAAATCCGTGTACTATTGCTGCCCCCCCCCCCTAAAAAAACCCTGGCCCCCCATGTCCTTATTTACCGTATATACCTGTGTGTAGTTCGAGTTTTTAAGACCAAATTATTTTGCAAAAAATTGGGGGTCGACCTCTAAAAGGGTAATAGTTTCATTAGGTTGAAAAATATTTACCAGTAACTACCAGTAAACAATGGAAACGACGCACCAATGCACCACCAGCTGTGAGTGTCGGTACTGTCGCCAGGGCAGATCTCTTGCGTCATCATAGCCAGCCCAAAGTAGCCAAATGCATGGTATGGTAGCACAGGACGATGTAAAGCAAAGTATTCATTTGTTAAAGTTTATTTATAGATATTGTACATAAATTTTTGTTCATTACATTTGAAACATCAATCTTTGTTAATTAAATTTGATACAAAAGAAAACTACGATACCGTATTTTCATTAATATATTACATCACAAGTATATTTTACCTTAACTGTGACTGAATGAATATATTTTCAGAAATAAATATGGAAATGTAATATTTTGGCTGAAATGACGTACATATTACTGTACAGTGGGAAGTGGGATACAATTATGAAAACAATGACTTTCGCTTTCTTTCGTTGTTCAAAAGATTTTACCGTAATCGCTCTTCGAATGGTTTTCAGTTAAAAAACTGTTGTAATCGTACTGTATTACAATAATATTCTATCCTATCATTAGCCTTATAATCCCACAACTGAAAACCATTCGAAAAGCGATTACGGCAACATCTTTTGAACGAAAGAAAGAGAGAGAGTCATTGCTTTCGTCACAATTTTATCCCACATTCCACTGTAATACGTACATCATTTCAGCAAAAATATTACATTTCTATGTTCTCAGAAATAAATGGTAGTTTTGTTGAAACGTAATGTACAGTATTTAATATTAAAATGCAAAAATAGCTATAAAAACAATTAATACACTCGTCCCTGCTCCTGCATCCAAGGTCACCTCACCACTCCTCCCAACTCGCTCCCTCCGCTCCCTCCGCACCGTCACTACTGCCGACAACAAACACAAATGTTTTGTGAATAACTGCACCTCCACTTCCTATGTACAGTACTTGTACTGAACTGTACTGTGCTGTGCATTTTTACAAACAATAAACATGGCAAGAAAAGCTATTAAAAAAAAAGAGATAAAAATTTCACTTTACTGTACCGTACCTCTCCTCGGCGACAGGGCGGGGGTCATCGGGCTCATCGTCACTCAATTCCATAACGGGTGGTGAAGTGGGGGCGACGGTGGATTCAGCTGCTTCCTCACTGCCGCCAGTGATTGATGGTGTTAAATCTCTCCTTCGGTGATCAAAGAACATGGTGATGGGGAGTTGTCTCTTTCTTTCATTTCTTCCATGATGTTTTTGTATGGAGCGAAAACGTCATCCATCCTTCGCATGAATTTCAGGGCACGCACCATGGAGGGGTCCATACTATAGGCCAGGTTTTTCAGTGCCTCAATATTCCTGGTCATCTCCCCCAACTTCTCCACCGTTATTTCTTGGTGCTCTTCCTCATCCTCTTTCCCTTTCGCTTCCTCTTCCTCGCCTGAGTCTACTAACTCCTGTAGATCCTCCTCGGTCAGCTCAGTGTCGTGCTTTTCAATTAGCTCCCTAATCTCGTCCTCTGCCATGTCCTGGAAGCCTTCAGCAGCCACTTTCCTTGACAGTGCCAGGGTCTTTCTGAATATTTTCATTAAAAACCATCAAAATCATTTTCCTTGTCATCGTCTTAAGCACCAAACAGCTCCTCCCAGTCTTCTCCTTGAACAGGGCTAGAGGGTACGCATTTTTCGAATCGTTTTCAATTAAACAAATGTTACAGCACATGTATATTTTACCTAAACTGTGCCTGAATGAATATATTCTCAGAAATAAATAGTAGTTTTGCTGAAACGTGATGTATTTCAATGTAAAATAGGATAAAATACATGACGAAAACAAAAGACTTTACCTAACCTTACAATGTTCAAGAGATGTTACTCGTTTTTTTAATAGTTTTCGGTTAAAATACTGTTATATTACAATGATATTATATTCATACTGTGCTTGATATACTACATTCACGGAAATGTAATATTTTTGCTGAAATGACGTACGTATTACAGTGGAAAGCGACGAAAACAGTGACTTTCGCTTTCTTTCGTTCAAAAGATGTTACCGTAATCGCTTTTCGAATGGTTTTCAGTTAAAAAAACTGTTGCATCACAAATGAATTAGGATAGAATATTATTGTAATACAACAGTTTTTTAACTGAAAACCATTCGAAAAGCAATTACGGTAACATCTTTTGAACGAAAGAAAGCGAGTCATTGCTTTCGTCACTTTCCACTGTAATACGTACGTCATTTCAGCAAAATATTACAGTTCCATATTCTCAGAAATAAATAGTAGTTTTGCTGAAACGTAATGCATTTCAATGTAAATTAGGATAAACTACATGAAAACAAAAGACTTTACCTAACCTTCCGATGTTCAAGATATGTTATTCGTTTTTTTAGTAGTTTTTGGTTAAAATACTCTTATATTAGTGATATTCTATTCATACTGTGCTTGATATAATACATTCACGGAAATGTAATATTTTTGCAACTACAATGCTGATGTCAACACAAGCGTGGTTACAGCGAGACTGACTGAGTGAGGGAGAGCTATGCGTGTGTGTGTGAGGTTGCGGGAGCGGGCGGTGTCCCGTGTTCGGTGCCGCGCGCGAGTTGAATGTACTTCAATTACTTCAATGCACAGAATATTCCTCCGGCGGAGGTCAATCCGTGTATTTGCGAATCCGTGTATGTGAAGGGCGGACTGTATATTGTTTCTCACTTTTGATCTTTTATCATTTTTGTATTTCTTTCTTTATTATCATTATTATTATTATTATTATTATTATTAGTGTTATAATTATTATTTTAGTTTCAAATTTGTATTTTTTAGTATAAATGTGATTTACTATGAATTATTGTTATTACATTTTCGCCCCCAGGCCCCGATTTAGGTCAGTGACCTGTACCCTGGTTGGCTAATCCCCATAAAAAAAAAAAAAGTTGTCCTCAAAGTTTACTGTCCAATTTGTCATTCACTTGCCATGAAGATAGGCCCTGCCTTCTATGAATTCATGCATGACTTCAATAAACTTAGTCAAATGGAACTGATTGTAGTCAAACAGTACCATACAAACTGGTATCTGGTTCCAGTTTTTAAGAGTGAGAATTGCCCTAGGTCCAAAGCCTTTACCCGTTTAACAAAAAAAAAATGTCCACAGAATGTTCATGCTTTCACTACAGGGATGCCTCTTTTAATATCTTATTTAGCTAATGCCAAACCATTTTATTCAGCTTAGATTGGACCCCATACACAAGGGGTTAAGGGTTCATAGCATTCATCATCAACTATTTTACAGCCATTTTCCACATTTGTATGGGTTAGCTATGATTACCTGATGGCAGCTTCTATGCTGCACAGTCTCTTGTAACCTTTAATTAGGTTCTTAACCCGAATGTAATTTCTTATGCCCTCATATTCCATGTCATTTTTGGCCTGCCCATGGCTCTTCTTCCTCCACATTTCAACTCCAATGGTCTTCAATCTCTCCACATGTTCAAACCATCTCAATCTACCTCTATACAAAACTTCACCAATACTCTCAATCCCTAAAAGATATTATAAATTTAAAAAAAAAATTCATGTAACCAAATAAAATAATTCACAAATAAAGAAGTACTGTATATTATTGCCTATATACAGTACAGTACTCTAAAAAATGACAGCCATCATCATCATCATTTTATGGCCGTTTTCCACACCTGTGTGGAATGCCGAATATAAAATAATGGATGCCCCTCGAAATCGAGGATGGCTGGCGTTAAGGCCACCTGGGCGTGGATTTGTTTAGAGTGTAGAAGCTGTCGCGAACACAACAACTACAGTCGGGTATGCTATAACGAACGTAATTGGTTCCAGAACCTCGTTCGTTATAGCATTCGTTCGTTATAGGATTAATCCGTTCCAGGCCCCCAAATACAACCACTTAACACTGAAAAAATTCTGTGGAAAATGTAAAAAATACGGTACTTTATCTTACCTTAGTGTTATTCAGCATGCAGGTACCCCTAAACACTGGCACATCACTATCACTTCCACTGGGAGTCTTGGCTTTAAGGTCCTCAAACAATTGTTTAGCCTTCTCACAAATTATAGCTTCACTAATGTTACCACCTGCCATTTCTTTCTCCTTTATCCACACTAAGAGTAAATTTTCCATCTCTTCAATCACATTACACTTTGCTTTGCTAAGTCTAAAGATTCCCTTAGCCACTTGCACAGTTTTTAACTCCTCTTTATTCTTCAAAATCGTACATATAGTCGATTTAGCCATCCCATATTCATCACTAAGTTTCGCAATGCTTCTTCCATTCTCACGTTTCTTTACAATTTCTTTCTTAGTTTCAAGGGTTATTAGCTTTCTCACTCGCTTTGGACGACTCATTGTTACAATTGTATACTTGTATAACAAAATAGTTATACAAATAACGCGAATTTCCACATCAAAAGACGAAATTTCAACAATAACAGTGGTGCACGGGCTACACAATGAGACAAAGATGGCGCCTGACGCTCTTGTTGTGGGTCGCGGTACAACAATATTCATGCGCCAGGCGAAATAGTCCCGTATTCATCCGCGTTCGTTGTAGGAGTTGAGTTCGTTATAGCATTCTCAATTTTATAGGTAAAACCGTTCGTTATAGGAATATTCGTAGTAGGATCCGTTCGTTATAGCATACCCCACTGTACATCCTAAGTTATCGAGCTGCATGACCCAATGTCGAGGAATAGTTCGAGAAGACTGGACAACTCACCAACAGCACTGGTGAACCATTACCCAAGAACACGATCTGCAAATTGTTTAACATCCAGGTCCCCAATTACTGCTGGGTAGACAGAGGAAAATGGAATAAAGAAACTTGCCCATAGTTTCACCTTGTCCTGGGATCAAACCCGGGACAACTAGCTTGCGAGGAGAGCATGCTGACCATTACACCACTGGTTGCACAGGTCATGCAGCTCGTTAAATCAAGGTGTGGTTGTTGTGTTGGGGACAGCTTCTACACCTTAAACAAATTCAAGCCTAGACGGTCCTTGGGCCGGCCATCCTCATATGCCCGATAACAAGGTCCTGGTTGCATGAAGCAAATTAGAAGCAAGTTTTATGGCTGATTAGCTGGATGCATTGCCTATCATCAACTCACTTTTACAGTGGGAACTGGACATTATAAGTAGGACTTGGAAGTGCCCTCTTAGCAGGCAGGGCTGGGTCACTACCCTGAGATAATCAAACATTACCATACCTACCCTAAAACTCTCGACCTGGAGCTGTCATGTCCGAGACCTTCGTTAAGTTTCTAAATGTGAAAACTTACTCTTCCATTTTAATTCTGTGTTGTTGCTGCTCTTCCTCTCGCTTCTGACGGTAATGTTCATCCAGCTCGGGTCCCTCCAGCTTCATTCTTCTCTTCTCCAAAAGTTTAAAGGTTCTAATCTGTGGATTATCTATAAGTCGTCTTGCCAGTGTGTCCGGCCCAGTCCTGTAAATAAACCCTCTTCTACAATTATACCATTCCACATCTGATTATACAGTGTATAACTAGAGAGCAAGAAAATTATGAATATATTTCTAATGTCAATACATTACTTATCATACATAAATTGAGAGACACCACAAAACATAAAATTGGTGAGCACATGCCCTGTTAGTGTAGTGAAGCTTGGTATATGCAGAAACATAAATTGTTACAGTGTAATGCCAAAGTCCTTTGACTTGAAGGCAATACATAAAAAAAATTAAAATGCTTACATAACTTATGAAATAGTTAATATAAAAATAAAATATCAGACCACTGCATGGCTGGTGGGTAATACAGCCTAGCTGAAGTAACAGTTGTGGCTCTAAACAGAATCAAACCATTATGAGAACTCTTGTACATACAGGATAAAGAAAAACCTTTTATTGCCTCTCACCCCATGCTAAGTTCATGACTCTCACCAAGAGCATGGTTCTAGGTCCAACAGAACCTCAGTATGGGTGGCTGATACCCCCTCCCAGAACCACCCTCAAGTGCGAATATCCCTCCTTAAATTTGTCGTGTGAATTTTAATATATTTTACTTAAAGAAAGTGTTGAAATGATCTCTTTTTGAGACATTAAAAGGTTGAATAAAGATATGTCTTTACTATCAGTCAAAATAATTGATGAAGAACTCATTTGCTAAGATCATGTAATTTACTGTAATAATCAAATTAAAGTTTACAGAGACGATGCTTTACAGGGAAAGGCTCTGATGGAAACAAGAGCCAGACTCATAGTGTACAGTATTAAAACCCAGGGAAAGACTCTGATGCCAGGTCTCCCTTCTTACACTCCAAGTAAAACAAATGGAGAGAGAGAGGAGAGAGAGAGAGAGAGAGAGAGAGAGAGAGAGAGAGAGAGAGAGAGAGAGAGAGAGAGAGAGAGAGAGAGAGAGAGAGAGAGAGAGAGAGAGAGAGAGAGAGAGAGAGAGAGAGAGAGAGAGAGAGAGAGAGAGAGAGAGAGAGAGAGAGAGAGAGAGAGAGAGAGAGAGAGAGAGAGAGAGAGAGAGAGAGAGAGAGAGAGAGAGAGAGAGAGAGAGAGAGAGAGAGAGAGAGAGAGAGAGAGAGAGAGAGAGAGAGAGAGAGAGAGAGAGAGAGAGAGAGAGAGAGAGAGAGAGAGAGAGAGAGAGAGAGAGAGAGAGAGAGAGAGAGAGAGAGAGAGAGAGAGAGAGAGAGAGAGAGAGAGAGAGAGAGAGAGAGAGAGAGAGAGAGAGAGAGAGAGAGAGAGAGAGAGAGAGAGAGAGAGAGAGAGAGAGAGAGAGAGAGAGAGAGAGAGAGAGAGAGAGAGAGAGAGAGAGAGAGAGAGAGAGAGAGAGAGAGAGAGAGAGAGAGAGAGAGAGAGAGAGAGAGAGAGAGAGAGAGAGAGAGAGAGAGAGAGAGAGAGAGAGAGAGAGAGAGAGAGAGAGAGAGAGAGAGAGAGAGAGAGAGAGAGAGAGAGAGAGAGAGAGAGAGAGAGAGAGAGAGAGAGAGAGAGAGAGAGAGAGAGAGAGAGAGAGAGAGAGAGAGAGAGAGAGAGAGAGAGAGAGAGAGAGAGAGAGAGAGAGAGAGAGAGAGAGAGAGAGAGAGAGAGAGAGAGAGAGAGAGAGAGAGAGAGAGAGAGAGAGAGAGAGAGAGAGAGAGAGAGAGAGAGAGAGAGAGAGAGAGAGAGAGAGAGAGAGAGAGAGAGAGAGAGAGAGAGAGAGAGAGAGAGAGAGAGAGAGAGAGAGAGAGAGAGAGAGAGAGAGAGAGAGAGAGAGAGAGAGAGAGAGAGAGAGAGAGAGAGAGAGAGAGAGAGAGAGAGAGAGAGAGAGCATTTACCGTGATGTTAGGATGATGGTATTTTTAGGATTGGTGGCCCACTGAACAAACAGTTCTCGTGCATATCCACATTCCAGGTCGGGGAAACTTGCCAACACAACCTAAATACAATATAATGTTTAGGGATGAGTCATATGCATCTGAATTCTTATACTGTACTGTATGAAACAAGGTGACATAAATTACACAGTATAATACACTATTTCCCAACACTTATCCTTTTCTTTTTATCATTGATGGTTCATTGTTCCACAGAGCATTGTTAATTTGTTGGCTGCTGCACATTCTCCAAATCTTTATGTTTTATACATTGTAACTTACACTCTGCTTCCAACGTTTATCTTTTCAAATGCACCATTTAAAAAAAATTGTACACATCACTTAGTAAATTTATCCTCATTCTCATCACTCTAATTTCTAAGAAATTATTCAATTAAATTCTTTTTCCACAAACTTCATACTAAAATCAAGTCAGCAAAGACTATTACAGTACCATTATGTGATAGTCACAACACCAATCACATTTTTGTTAGCCAGTGTTTTAAACAATGCTGTTGAGTCTCGGATGTTGGTGTATGGATACTATCAGCATTTGCAAGAGGGAGAAATTCTTGTACAGTAACTAGTTTGTCCTCTATAGTACAGCTGCTCCCTGACTTACGACGGGGTTAGGGACCCAAATCCAGGTCGTAAGTCCGAATGGTCGTAAGTCCGAATGGTCGTAAGTCCGACATAGATAAAAAATAAATAAATAAATAAATAAATAAAAAATCTACAATGAAATACAGTACAGTAAAAGTAATAAATAATGAGGAATGGATACAGTAGTGAAAGTAATAAATAATGAGGAATGGATACAGTGTGACTGAGCATTTACCTTTAATGTAGTCAGCTGAGTGCACATGGGGCCTCCATAATTTTCTAATTATACATGGAGACTACATTAACTTGAAACGCTTCGGTATAGAAAATGCGTGTGTCATTTGAAAAAAAAAAAAAAATGGTCACAACTGCGGCGGTCGTAAGTCCCGACGGTCGTAAGTCCAAGCAGTCGTAAGTCGGGGACTTCCTGTATATAAGTATGTACCGTACACCCAGCCGGGCCAGGCGCATGAGACCTACCAAAGACATTCTGGTTCACCGAACACATACATCAGTTAGGATGATATTCAGCAGTAATGACAATCCAAAGTTCACCCCAGTTTTTCAGTCAACTAATAAAACACAGGGATCTGGAAAATGTTTTAATAATGTCTCATGGGTCCTCCTCACAAGTATTGTACAGTAGCTAGTGGGATGATCATCACCAGCACCCCTTGACAGAGTTTGCCATTGCTCAAAAAACATACAGTGATTGTAAGTACAGATATTGACATAATGTCAAAATCTGTACAGGTACTTACAATATTTTACTGCAAGCTAGACACTTACTCTTGTCCAATTAGATTTGGATTCCGTGGTTGGTTCAGTTGTAAGGAGAGATTTGGGTTAAGAGTCGTTGACTCTTGGAATTCATTTTTATTTTGAAACCCAATTAAACCAAACGGGATATGAAGCTCCACCGCACACAGTTTTCGACTGAAAACCAATCCGTGGAGGCCTTAATTGAAATATTGTAATATCTCCGTTAGCCGGAATCCCTCAAACCCGGAACTCTCCGATAGCCGGAATTGAAATTGTCTCGGAACATTGTTCCCAAAGCCGGAATGTTCCGGAAAATTCCGGCTTTGGGAAAGATTTTCTAAGGGGCACATTTTCCGGCCAATTCCGAGAAAATTTTGCCAATACCCAGAAAATTCTGGAGATGGGGGAGCAAGTCTTATATGACCCTACCCTGGGTGATGGTGTATGCTGATGAATTAGTGCATATAGTAGATAGTATTGAATAGGCAGTGGATAAATATAAGAAATGGAAGGATGGAATAGAGTCAAACGGTCTCAAAGTGAATGTGGCAAAAACAATGATTAGTGGTGTGGGCGAGGGACCTGTGGTAGAAAGTAGACAATAGCCAAGTGTTGTCTGTAACAAAGATGCTGGCAGCAACTCAATACACTAATGTGCTAGGTGGGTACAGTGGAGTAGATGGCAGACTGCAGGAAGTTGAGGACTTTAAATGTTCTGTATCCACAGATAACCATGTGTCCATAGCAAGGCTGAAGAAACTCAACATTAGGGACTGTGTCTATGAGTTCTGTTACCTGGGTGATATGATCAGTGCTGCTCAGCTGCAAGAGTCACAAGTAGCTGGAGGAGGTTTAGGGAGCAGCTGCTTTTATTGACCTCTGGGTATGTGTGAGAAGTGTGGTGTTGTATGACAGTGAAACATGGTCAGTTAAAGAGGATGAAATAAGTAGACTTGAGTGAGCTGAAATAAGAATGGTGAGGTGGATGTGTAATGGAATTACTTGGGACTACAGTACTGAGAGAGCAGTACGTGTCAAGCCACATATACTATAGAGTACAGGTATGGGACTGTTGATCTGGCATCCCAGTATTTGGAACGCTCCAAAATCCAGTTATGTTCTTGAATGAATTATATAAAATTACCTCAGAGTAATTCCAGGACCGAGCAAGATATTTCCAACTTTTCCCTACCTGTGAGCTGTATGTTATATATCTTCAACTCGTAATTTTAGGTACAGGGGGTCCCCAACTTACAAACGCCCTTCGATACAAATGGGTTTAAACTTGAAATTTACAGTATTTTATTTACCTGCTGACTTATTTTTGACTTTCATTTACTATATTTTGTCATTCTATTTCTTCTTTTGTCTTAAATTAAGTGATTTTAGATGTACTGTATATAAGGACTGAGGCTATGCTATAATGGGATTTTAAACATTGTTCTGTAAGTACGGTATGCACATAGAATGTGTTCCGACTTACGTACAAATCCGACTTAAGAACGTCCTCAGGAACGGAGCCTGTTTCCAACCTGGGGACCACCTGTAGATATATGTAGAGGCACAGCAATTTTCTTCATTTTCATTACTTTGTCTGTGGCAAAGCACTGTTGTTAAGGCAAGCACCAGGGGGCAACTGTGACCCAGTTTGTACACTAAGTTGTATCACATTTGCTCTTTTTGTTATCATTAATGCAAGTTATATGCTTTTGTTATTGATGTTTATATGCCTACAATTTTAAGTTTTAATGTTATATATAGTGTACAGATAACGCTACTTTTAGGGGTGAATCTAGTGATCTGATCAGTCTTCACCGCCAGTTACGGAGGGTTTACTGTACATTTTAGGCCTGGTGCTCCACATTCCAGAAAACTCCATCCCTAGATAAATGATCCCATACCTGTACAGTATATGGTTTTCCCAGAAGTGTGAATAAGCATACCCCATAATGCTGGTCTCAAGCTACTGAGAGACACACCTCCTATAACACTGTTTAAGATCATTATTGCATTTAAGAGGTTTAAACTCTCTAATAGCTTCGCTGAGGGAACTGGATCAGGTCCTCAGTCAAAATTTTCATGATGAAACTGCATATTTAAGAGAAGAGCTCCCAATTACGAGGTGCAAGGCTCTGGGAAGTACAGCACCACCAATCTTCTTCAGCCCTGTACTTCCTAGTTTGGAGTGTATTCACCATGATAATTACAAACTCCTCCCATTTGTAGCTGTTTTAGGTCACCTATGACAACCAATATGCTATAGTAAATGGGGGATGACGGACAATTCCCAATTTTATGGTCAAGAGATGGAATGAGTGATGCAGATTCCCCTCCTCCTTCATGCAAGTTTATTGCATTATTACACTACAGTTAACAACCTCCTATGCTTTCTAAACATCTCCTCCCACATGCCTTTCTAAATATAAAATTACAGAAGCTCAATATTTCAAATCTATCCAAAATTATGTGCCAGGTATGAATAGCAGTACTGTTACCTTGGGGGAGGGTAGACGACTGAGGTCAGTAAGGTTATGACAAAACTTAAGGTGCTTGAAGCTAAAAGGGTTTGTCCGTAGAGAGTCAAAGGCTTTGGTCAGCTTCTCACTCATCCACTCAATCTGTAAAGAGATATTCAATAGGGATAATACAATTACATGTCATTATCAGTCTTATTTGGACACATACCCGGTACACAAAAAAGGTGAGGAGGGGGGGGGGGGAGCATTGATTTGAAGAACTTTATCAAGAGAATAAACCAATGGCTCTCTAGTTCTCTGAGAACTCTAACCTCGGCTCCTGCAATAGATTTATTTATCTATTTATATTTTTTAATGAAGGATCAATAACAAATATAGTGTCACTAAAACTACATGTTGACACCCAAGGGTTTCCAGGACCTCTCCACTTGTGTAGCTCGGTTAAATTCCAGAAATTCGGTATAAAATATGAATCTAGGATTGTTGTGTGTGAAGGCTTGGCTGGATAATTAGTAGAAGGTCAAGTATAACTGATACATCTCCTGGACAGTCTGAGATATGGGTTAGTTCACCTCTGACCTGTGTCACATTATTGGAGAAGGAGAATTCCTCAGCCATTCCTTCTGGGTCTATGTGAGAGTAATTAGTTTACCACTAAAGACTGCTCAGCAAAATGCTCACAAAAATTTGCCAGGAATTAAATTGCCATCAGAGGGATCTGAAGACAGAGGATATCCAAATACTTTACTGTTGATCAAATGAAAGATAAACAATGCCTGATGAAGACAGACTTTTGTGTTATAGGAACAATATGTTCAGATGTTTTAACATGGAGTGGCAAACCAAACAGATTTCTATTGGATAAAACAGTAAAAATGTTCCCAGCATTAAATAAAGAGGTACATGAATAACCGGATAAAATGAAATACAATCATTGTTTGGGCAACTTTCACTTCTATTATAAAAAGGAAAAAGGTTGAGAAGTGTGAAGAAGACAACTGAACAATAAATAAAAGTGAATACTGTACAATTCAGCTTCATGTTTTCTAACCCACTTCTTTAACAGCTTAATAACTTTCTCTGTCTAACAAAATGTAAAATAATTCTAAATTTAAAGTGAAATCTCATTCCCAAGTTTTCCTCCATAATCAAATATTACAGCATTCATCAGGAATTATGCCAGTGATCAAAACCCTAGAGTACAGTATACCACAAATTACATCTATTAGTACAACTTGAACAACAACTGTACATAAAAACCTTACCATTTGTTTAGCAAAATGTATGACATGGTAGCCAGTGTTGGAGAGGATACACAGAGAGTAAGCCGACAGACCACTCTCTCGCGTGCTCCACATTTGTTCTAGCATGTGTGTCATTTCCAACACTCGCCCACCCGTGTCAGTGGCAACCAGGACGTTTCCTCCACTGCGACACGTCTCTTGTAGTTGGGCTGGAAAGATGACAACAATAGTTTAGTTTCTAATTTTACTTGTACAGAGAGAGCAAACGTATGCACGTGTGTGTGTGTGTGTGTGCATGTGCGCTTGTGTGTGTGCGTACATATGTGTGTGTGCCCTCCACATGTGCAACGAATGTGGACGACGCTGCCGGTCCCGTATCGGGCTCTTTAGTCACCTCAAAACTCACTAACCTAGGTGACATCCCTAATAATCCATATAAGTTTACCATGGCTGGATGATTGACATACTAGATTCCCAGTGACAGCAAAGTAGTAGTAGTAGTAGTAGTAGTGAGCAACGTGATTGTGAGGCCGTTCTCCTGGTCGACGCTTCAAATGCATTCAACATACTTAACCGCAAGGCCAACTGCGCAACATCAAGATCAAGTGTCCAAGCTTTGCAATGTACGTTGAAAATGCCTATAGGAATCCATCAGACCTTTATATAGTAAACAACAAGGCCCTACGAGGTGATACCATCTTACAGTCAACCGAGGGAACAACACAGGGGGACCCTGTTGCAATGGCAATGTATGCAATAGGCCTATCAGTGCTCCAACAAGAAATAAAACTTGAAACAACTGGGGTCAAACAAGTGGCGTATGCTGACGACCTTACAGGAGCAGGAAAAGTGGAGGGCATCAAAAAGTGGTGGGACTTGGTAACAACGCGAGGTCCACAAATAGGGTACCACCCAAACGCCAGCAAGTCCTTCCTCATCGTGAAGCCAGAACATTATGAACGGGCAAAGGAGGTTTTTGGCGGAAGTGAGGTCAAACTAACTAAGGATGGCCAAAGACATCTAGGCGCAGTAATTGGCACTACGGACTTCAAGACCGAGTACGTAGCGGGAAAGGTGAATGAGTGGGTTAGTGAAATCCAAGCTCTGTCTGAGATTGCTAACAGAGCCACATGCGGCTTTTGCTGCATTCACCCATGGGGTCAAGCATCGTTGGAACTACCTGATGCGTACTATCCCTGATATCGGACCCCTCCTCCACCCTCTGGAAGAAGCTATCAGTGTCAAGTTCATTCCCGAATTAGTGAAACACACTCACTTAACCCCAGCAGAAAGAGCACTTCTTGCACTTCCATCAAGACTGGGAGGGATGGGACTAACCAATCCAGAGAAGATTGCAGCCACCGAACATCAAAATTCACTTAAGCTCACGGCAGCCCTCACGGACCACATAATAGCCCAGAACGCAACAGGGGAGGTCGAGACCAGTGAAGTAAACGAGATTCGTAGGTCCATTACGACAGATCGACAGCACTGCCAAAATGATAAGTTGCAGCAACTGTTGCTGCAGGTTCCAGAAAATGTTGAAAAAAAAGTAGCTATAGCGCAGGAGGTGGGCGCCTCGAACTGGTTAACTACGTTACCGATAAGGGCAAATGGTTTCAGTCTTAACAAACAAGAATTTACAGATGCCATTGCTCTAAGGTACGGTCGGGCAGTAGAAGGTTTGCCCTCCCAATGCATGTGTGGCTCTTCCTATGACGGCGATCACGCCATGGTGTGCAAGAAAGGGGGCTTCATATGCATGAGGCATGACGAAGTGAGGGACCTTACAGCAAATATGCTGAAGGGAATCTGTCGGGATGTCATGGTAGAACCGACCCTCCTTCCATTGGATGGTGAAATCTTCCAACATAGGACTTCAAACACATCTAACGAAGCCCGTGTTGACGTCAGTGCTCGAGGATTCTGGATGCGGGGACAGCGAGCTTTCTTCGACATCAGGATTTTTTATCCCATGGCCGCATGTCACCGTAACCTAGCTCTCGATGCTGCACATAGGAGGAATGAGAACGACAAGATAAGGGCATATGGAGAGAGAATCCAAAACGTTGATCAAGGCAGCTTCACTCCTCTAGTGTTCACAACCTCTGGTGGGATGGGAACAAGTGCAAGATGTTTCTACGCCAGACGTGCGGAGGTGATCTCCGAACAGAAGCAGCAGCCAAGAAGTTATATTACAGCCTGGATGAGATGTCGACTGTCTTTCTCTCTTCTTCGGTCGGCTTTGCTCTGCCTCAGGGGAACGAGAGCTTCTGCCCCAATTCCGATAACTGCTGCAAATATTGACTATGAGGCTACTGTCACTGAATGCCGTATAGATCTGGATAGGATAGGATAGCTACTTATGTATTAGGATATTTAATATTACGGTAATTAAATGGTGGCGAAGGTGTGGCTATTGGGAGAGGCTGGAGGCCATTAAAAAAAAAAAAAAAAAAATAGTAGTAGTAGAAAAAGAAATGGTCCAATGTGTACAGTAATACAGTCTTCAAGGTTCGTTGTCAAGTACCATATACTACAATGAAAGACCAGCTAAAAACTTTTACAACTTTTACTAGAGAATAATGACTGCAATATGACTTAATAACAAGAATACCTGTCCAGTATAGTACAGTATACCAAATACCGACCGACGAGCTTTTCATCTCGATGACGTCTTCGTTCCTGTCTGTATGAAGCATTGAAGGCATCAGTAATAAGAAGAGATGGACGACTTATCTTATCCAGCTCACAGCCTCCTAAGTGGCGTTCCTTCTTGTGATTAAAGTCAACAGCATACACAATATCCTAGAATGTAAGCTATTTGTAGAATGTCACATACAAGGTATAATATAAGTACTGTACTGTATGGAACCAACAGGTTAGAGATAAGCCTTCCCTCCATATCTGTCATGCTGTACAGAACAAGTTATTTTTATTGTGGAAACCACATATTCTTCAATCTATTGAACAAATGTAATAAATGTATTAGAACTTAGCTGGGTCTTGGAACATCACTTAAAAGATAATTCCTTACTACATGTTCAACTGATTCAAAAATTTCCAATTAACACTGATAATAACTATTCAGTTATAATGATGACAAAGACTTACCCCCTCTCCGTCTTTAAGAATTCTCCAAATAGAACCTCCAATCATGTGACCTGCAGGCTGAGCAGAGATGTTCAAACCTATTCCTTTTCCTGCAACACAGACCAAAGAACACATTAGGAGAAACATTTTCATAGTACAGTAGCAGCCAACAATCCTACAAACTCTACATTGTCTTCACAGTATTTTAGTACAGGCAGACCCTTATTTGCCAGAATATGAATGATTTAAATTTGTTAATGTCACAGGCTTTAATGTATAAGTCAAGTCCCGATTGTAAAAAAAACCAATCATAATTCATTAATCTTCATCACCCCTGTATATGCTGTCTGTCTCATTGAAAGCAAATAAAAATTAAAGAAAAATTACTCAAGGTTCTGCTTCCTTGGTCGGCAAATACAGCCCACAAGCAACATTGGAAAATTTATGGTTTAACATTGTCATATGTAAGTCATTAAAATTATGTCCCAAATAGGTTGGGAGTTGGGCAATTGCAGCAGCCAGACCTGACTCCAGCAGAACACACTTAACACCACCGCCTTGATCTGACACAAGCCATAGTTTAGGGTAGTGTGGGACCCATATTCCATAACAGGTTACAGTTAACTTATCTTTATGTGGTTAGCCAACTGTGTATAGTGTCACCTCTGAGCTGAATAAAATCGTCTTGTATTGGCCAAATAAAATATCAAAAGTGGCTCACGTCCTCATAGTGAAGGGGCTAATGCACATCAACGCTGTCATTATTCCCACTGAACAAGCTTCTAGCATTTTCATCAACATTCTTCATGTCTCATCAAATATGGAATAAGTATCCTCTCAATGAATTGTTTTTGAATTTGGACAATATATATTTTTTTCATTTAGTCTATTTATGTTACCGGGTATGCAAAAGGTGTACAGCCAACCCAAAACTTACTGAGACTCCAAAGTCCAGTGAAACAGAAAACAATCAATAACCTCAGACGTGTTCATGTATGAGTTGGTTTAGTACATTCACTATAATATACATTATGAGGATCAAATAAGGAGTGGAGGATTCATTCAGTGATGACCTGGTAGGATCACGACACACAGCCACGCACAATGGAAGAATGAAGCCGGAACACGGACATTTCAAAGGAAACACGAGGTGCAATTATCACGAGGGTCTAAGGCAAGCTATTGCTGAAGGTTCCTGTGTCTGGGAAGGCCACGGCACCAGAAAAACCGTGTCTCTGGAGGTGAAACTTGACTTTGTGAAGTGGCCTGGCTTGTTCCTCAAGTTAGTCTTAATTCTAAACACTTGTACAGTAATATACAGTAATGTATTTGAATGGGGAATCCCAAACCCAGAATATGTGACACTAGGTACAGTAGCACAGTTCTTCAGGATAATCCTGTTACTTCCTGAGGTTTACAGTACAGTACTTCATGGATGGAGCCCTTTAGATGGCTTCTTTGGAATCTTACAGTTCACTCAGTTGTGGCCTCTTAACTATTCTGTAGTGAAATACTGAGCCACGAATTTTACAATAAAGAGAATTAAATGAAACACCAAGTTCTCCTTAAAAGGGCTCTAGTATTGGGCTTCTTTTATTGCCAAGGGTTTCATAACATAAGCTGCCGAGGGTTTCAACTTGGTGTAATTGAAGCCACACAAACTGTCAAGACATACAATGAGTTCAAAGCAATAATTTAACCCTGGTTCCCGTGGGTCAACAGCTATTTCTAACACTCAAACATTATCCAGGTTGGCTGGATAAAATATTAAATTTGAAAGAAACTATGAATGACGATAAAATTGTTTTAAGATAATTTCATAAGCCTTAGAATTATTAAGAAGCAGCATGAAAATTGCAGCAATGCTCACCTCTCATGGGGATGCTTTGGTTGTACTTAACTTGAGTAATAAGTTCAAAGGCTGAATCAACATCATCCAGTGTGAAGTGCTCCACCAGGTCATAATTATGGTGACTCTGAAAGTAAATGACCCTCAGTCACATTATCAATGTGAGGTTATCAACTAATAACTAGGGTGGATCTATAAGTAAAACATCATAATGAAGGAAAATGACAACCTAATTGGAAACAGAAATATTATTACCAGTTATTATGATGAGTTAGGAAGTAATGATCCTACTGTGAAATTAGCAGCTCCCAGACACAGGGTAATAGATGAAACTCAATTACAGTACAGGTACTCCCCGACTTACGACGGGGTTAGGGACCGACATCCAGGTCGTAAGTCAAAATGGTCGTAAGTTGGAAATGCTTAAATAACACATAGAAAATCGAAAATGGGTGTCTCTTTTTCTTCTCAGCACCACAAAACACTCACTTTTAAGCTTGCCAGCCATTTTAAAGTGAATTACAGATGAAAATTTTGTCTCTGTACTGACTTTGGGACTCAAAAATACATAATTTGACCAAATTTTGGTAGGACTGAGGCGGTGGTAAGCGCGGGTGGTTGTAAGTCGGGGAGTACCTGTACAGTAATTGTTCAAGGACAGTAATCATAAATGATCACATTCTCTTATTTTGTGTCGCTGTTTACACTTAAAATGTACTGGTAATTATGATTATTTTTAATATTACATTTTCTATTTCCATTATATTTAATAAGAAAATGCCACACATTACCGGCTACTGATATAATACCTAGAAAGGCCACTGGAAATCTGTGTCCCAGGACCCATCAGACAGTTGTACTTCAGTTACTATGTTAAGCTTTATAAGACTGTGTCAACATCTTAAAGGAACAGCCATGTTGAGTGACTCAGGTCACAACCTTGGGGACACTGTGGTCACAGCCATGTTGAGTACTGTAGTTCAATTCCTGACCAGTGAGGTAATCGGCCAGCTATCAAACAGGGAGGTACTGCCGCCTGGGAAGATATTGGAAGCATGCTGCCATATGTGACCAAGTCCCAGGTTGATGATCTGACTTTCTGCCTCATTTACACACAATTGTAGGGCCTCAATTGTTTCTTTTACTTTGACAAAGCAAATAAATATATCGTTTCTAACTAATGATCTTTTTTTTTTTTATGAGCCCTTATTATTATTATTATTATTATTATTATTATTATTATTATTATTATTATTATTATAATTATTATTATTATTATATTTTTGCCCTCAGGCCTTGATGTGGGTCATTGACCTGTGCTCTGGAGGGATAATCCCGGATAAAAATAAAAATAAAAAATAAAATAAATTATCATCATTCCGAAAGCATTTTCCGAGCCATAATTCATTGTTTTAAATCAAATAAACGTGATTTGGCTTGGGTTACTATTTAGTAATCTTAAATTATTATTGGTACATTCGGGATAAGTCTTTGGGTGTAAGTAGGCACCCGAAAGACTCATCCCGAATGTTCACACTAGTTATAAGTGCGTAGAAAAAACTCTGAAATACAATACCACTGTACAATACATGTACCGTATATGTAAATTAAGATGAGATAATAAAGAAAAAAAATATTTAAATGTCCTAATAACCGGTTCCAACGGAAATGTGTATATTTTAAGAGACCGCCGTGTACCCCCGTGAAATTTTACCTTCAACTCCAAAGATTTTTCGTCTCTCCATCGCACTTCTCATAAATTATCTAGCATTGCAATCATCCTCTCGAAGCCTCAATTACAATAAGGAACACCTTTTTTTACGATTGACAGATGTAACGTTATTTCCAAATTGCCAAAGTATTTAATAGAAAAGAACCAAATGAGCTGAATGTGCTTGGTAGATTGTTGAGGTAATAGTATATACAACCTGTGACCGTCGCTAATTATCACCTTGGAAAAATTTTCCATGCTATATTTCACTGTCTGGGTTATTGTTCTGGTAGTGCTTACAACTACCAGTGTTTGTTAGGTTAGGTTAGGTTAAAAAAAATATTTTTTAGAGGAAATGTTCAAACCTAACCGATAATCAGGGTTGGGAAAAAATTTCATAATTAATTAATAATAAGACACCACAATACAGCTCCTCCCCGACTTACGACGGGGTTAGGGAAGCAAAACCAGGTCATTAGTCGATATAGTCATGTCTAAAATGCTTAAATAATACATTTAAAATCTAAAATGGGTGTCTCTTTTTCTTCTCAGCACCACAAAATTCTCATTTTTAAGCTTGCCAGCCATTTTAAAGTGAATTACAAACAAAAATTTTGTCAGTACATAGACGTTGGGACTCGAAAATATGTAATTTGACAAAATTTTCGTACGACTGAGGCAGGTCATAAGTGCGGGTGGTCGTAAGTCGAGTAGGTCGTAAGTCGGGGAGGAGCTGTACTGTATTTCTTTCTTTCTTTTTTTTGCGGGGAATAGCCCACCCGGGCATAGGTCATCGTTCCACAACCGGGCCTGGGGGGCGAAAAAATAAGAGTAAAATAAATTAAAAATAGGAAAGAAAAAGATTATATTAATCTACACCACAAAGATGACGGAAAACTATCTTTCTGAAGTGAGACAGATTGTATGAGCATGTAAACACAGAAGAAGGCAGAGCATTCCACAGTTTGTCTGTGTGAGGAAAGAAGGATGTATTATAACGGGTTATTCTCGTGTGACCGACATCCACAGAGAAACAATGGGCACCGCGGGCAAGACGAGTGTTAAGAGCCCCCGGCCTTGCCGGCGGTACACAGGATGCCAAATCCACCATAAATATCATTAATTTATAAAACTACAAATATATAAGATTTAAATACAAGTGAGAAACCATGAAAAATGACCAATATACTGTACATTTAGCCCCATTCCAAGTTATGTCCTCATAGTACGGAGGGTCCCCGACTTAAGAATGTTCTCAGGAACAGAACCCGTTCATAACCCGGGAACCCCCTGTACGGTATACGTTTAAGGCAGACAAAACACTAAATAAAACTTGAATATTTTAGGAAGACCAAGAATTACAATTTGATAGGAAGAATTACTTAGTAGTTTTAAGCCCGGCCTTAATAAGATAAAATTAAATTGACAGCTGATCATGTCGCAAAACACTTGACAATAAATAAATTATTATACTGTACTGTGTGTGTCAGGGTACTGCGTGTGTGTCAGGGTACTGCGTTTGTCAGGGTACTGTGTGTGTGTCAGGGTATTGTGTGTCAGGGTACTGCGTTTGTCAGGGGTACTGCGTTTGTCAGGGTACTGTGTGTGTGTCAGGGTACTGCGTAAAAGTCAGGTACTGCGTGTGTCAGGGTACTGCGCTGTCAGGGCACTGTGTGTGTGTCAGGGCACTGCGGTGTGCTTGTGGGCACTGCGTTTGTCAGGGCACTGTGTGTGTCAGGTACGGTGTGTGTCAGGGTACTGCGTTTGTCAGGGTACCGTGTGCCAGGGTACTGCGTGTGTCAGGTACTGCGTGTGTGTCAGGGTACTGGGTGCCTTGTCAGGGTACTGCAAAAGTCAGTATTGTGTCAGGGTACTGCGCTTGTCAGGGTACTGTGTGTGTGTCAGGTACGTGTGTGTGTCTGCACAGTGTGTCAGGGTACTGTGTTTGTCAGGGTACTGTGTGTGCCCTGGTACTGTAAAGCCAAAGTACTGTGTGTGTGTCAAAGTACTGTGTGTGTGTCTGGGTACTGTGTGTGTCAAAGTACTGTGTGTGTGTCAAAGTACTGTGTGTGTGTCTGGGTACTGTGTGTGTCAAAGTACTGTGTGTGTGTCAGAGTACTGTGTGTGTCTGGGTACTGTGTGTGTCAGGGTACTGTGTGTGTGTCTGGGTACTGTGTGTGTCAGAATACTGTGTGTCAGAATACTGTGTGTCAGAATACTGTGTGTCAGAATACTGTGTGTGTCAGAATACTGTGTGTCAGAATACTGTGTGTCAGAATACTGTGTGTCAGAATACTGTGTGTCAGAATACTGTGTGTCAGAATACTGTGTGTATTATTACTCTTTACATTACATCACTTCACCCTGCCAGCCAATGCACTAGCTATACCAACCTAACCAAGCTTTGGTGTGACTCAATATGTTTAAAACTTAATAACTGCTGTACTTTATTAGTAATGTCTCTTAACCTATAAACTACTTCAACTGTATATATAAGGTGAGGCGCCTATTGTCCAAATAATGATAAAGAAAAAAAAATTAGTGTAGACACAAGGTATGGTACTGTACTGTACTCACCTGGAACCAATCATACATGAACATTTGTCCCATCTTGAAGACAGGAATAGTTGCATATACTGGGCATGATAACTGACACTTGCCAACTAAGAATGGTAAGGCACCCATGTGTAGGGGGTCTGGGTATGAGATCAAAACACAGTCAACACGTGGTAGGACCCTGCAAGATGGAAAGAAAAATTAGGGATACAAGTGCAAAAATAAGCTATAGTACTGTATTAATATTTTAATGGTGAACCTAGAAAAGCTTTTCTCTATTGCTTTTAGAGATAAAGTACTTCTATTCTTAAATCCATGCTGGAAGGGAATGAAACTATCTGTGATTCCACAGCAGGTGTGTACAGAATCCCATGTAAGAACTGTGACCAGTTCATGAGATAGGCAGAAAACTAGCATTAAAGAATGTAAGTATACATTTAAGACAGGAAATACTAACACTGCAGTATTTTTTTATACCTCTAAAAATAACCATGCAATATATTAGAATGCAAGCAATTTGTTTTACAAATACAGTACAATGATTTTAAGAAATGTAGGATAGTAGAATCAGTTTGTTCACAAAAGTACTGTCTAACAATTTTAACTTCAGCAAAGACACGTTCAAACTGGATCCTGTGGTGAAAGCCTTGGTGGTCAGGTCTCTGTCATCTATTGTGCTACCTGACCTGATCAGAGGTGACTGCCTTGGTGATGGTTCAAGTGGGGGTAAGGTGATATCATGTGCAGTGTATATAAGCAGCTGTGCCAGTCAGTACCTGAGGAGTTGTCGGTGAAAATGTTTGGAATAAACCAGTAATAGAAACAGGGCATTTTTTTTTATAAAGTTTTGATTCTTAATGTTCCCACAATTGTTATTTCTGACCAGATAGTCACCTGAGAATGACTACTTTATGACTGTTACTCGGTGACCCAAAGACACCCTCCCCTCCTTGGGCCACTCCCTCACCAAACCTCTTAGTTGCAGTAAGTAGGTACCTTTAACTATTCCTGTGTGTGTGTGTGTGTGTGTGTGTGTGTGAATTATGATGTCATTGGCAAGATGACTGGAGACAATTGGTGGATGGGCCTGGCTGGTCAATTTGGGTATGACTATCATGATGTTGAGATCACAGAGGAACCATGTATACTGTACTTGGTTTGAGGTCATGATGAGACTGTAGCCATAAATATTATGCTTTCTGCCATGGAAATTATTGACACTAAAAAATGTGGTTAATATATATGCTATAGTGAGTTTATGTATACCAAGTGTGCCACTCACAACCCAAATTGTGGTGGAAATGTGTGAAAAGATCCAGTGGTTGCTGTTGGGGCAGTATAATGACAATCATTGTTTCATTATTTTATGTTATTAAGGTATTTAATATGATATAATTTTTTAATATACAGGTGGACTATCAAAAATCCGGCAACCTCGGGAACTGAGGAGTGCCGAATTTTCGAAAATGCCGGAAAACTGATGGTTATATTTGCAGTATAAGTTTAACAGAAAATGACTACCTGTACAGTCCTTTAAACAAAGAAAATTAAACACTAAATGAAAAGCAAATGAAATTTTATTATATATGCTGTATACAGTATATTTAACAGAAAATTACTACCTGTACAGTCCTTTAAAAAAATAGAAAATTAAACACTAAATGAAAATCAAATGAAATTTTAATGTTTATCAGGCTAAACAGCAGATGGGCTGTCAGGATTATCATCTGTATCACTGACAGTGACAACATCCTCAGCAACAGGAACAGCTTCAACTTGTCTTGAAGTTGATGGCAGTGGATTATCAAGTGTGGACACCGCTGTTGCTTCTTCCTGCTTCCTAGCTATTTCTTGAATATATCGGGCAATGTCTGTTGCTTCATATACTTGGGTCTTTCTCTAATAAGTTTATCTTGGAGCAAGAAACCATTCATGATTTCTTGTTCACTTACAAAACTTCGTTGCTCTAGTCCAGCCAGCAGTTCAGTTGTCAACGCAATTAACCTGTCAATAGAGATTCTCTCTCTCACATCTTCCTCATTTTCTTCACTGCTTTCATCTTCATCACTACTTGTACAGGCATTTCTCTCCGGAATTTTAACCATATCTACAATTTCAGAATCAGTGTAATGATGAACTGTAGGCACATTATCATCAACATCCAACCATTCTGTTAAAACATCTTCATTTATCCTTGATGAAGGCTCCTTGGCATCAGGATTAGTTACATCTTTAACATAAGCAAGAAGTTCATGTATAAGTTGCTTTTCTTTGGAAACCCTAAACCCTGCAAAATCATTTTCTGTGTCTTCGTTAGAATGAGAAGTAAACATTAAACTTGGCCACAATTTATGCCATCCATTTTTCAGTGTTGATGTTTTAATAGACATCCAAGCATTGGCAACACAGTACACTGCATCCTTAATGTTGAACTCTTTTATGAATTTCTGTACTGGGGTGCCTGAATTAACTGAACTCACTAGGCGCCTCATTAACAGGGATCGATACTTACACTTCATAGAACGTATGATACCATTGTCCTGTGGTTGAATTAGTGATGTGCAGTTGGGTGGGAGGTAGGCAACAAAAACATTATCTTTCACTAGAAGATCGGCTTTTGTCTAAAATAAGAAGTATCTTGCATTTAGGGTCTAGTCCAACTGAGTTACAGTGAACCCTGGCCTCAGGAACAAAACATTTATGAAACCAATCCAATGTAATATCAGTGGTAACCCACCCCTTCTTGTTGGCACTGTAATGGACAGGAAACCGTGTCATACCCTTAAAGACCCTCGGATGTAAACTTTTTCCGATAACAAGCAACTTACATCTATGGGTACCCGCATCATTAGAGCAGCACATTACTGTGACGCGATCCTTCGAAGCTTTAAACCCCGATGGCGATTCTGCATCCTCAGTCGTCAGAGTTCTTTTTGGCGTACATCTCCAAAATAAGGCAGTCTCGTCAGCATTGTACACTTGTTCAGGACTTAAATGTTCATCACTAACTAACTTTGCAAATTCATCCACATAGGCACTAGCTGCATCCTTGTCTGCTGAACGTTTTTCACCACATACTGCACGAAACTGTAAGCCATGTCGCAACTTGAAACGTTGCAGCCAACCTTCTGTATAGTCACACTTGTGTTGCAATCCCAGCTCTTCATGAAACACTTTGGCTTGTTCCTTTAATAAATCACCCGAAATTTCCACACCTTCACTTACATGAAGTTTAAACCAGGTTATGAGAACTTGGTCTAGTTCCGCACTTTTTCCCTCCGACATTGACTTCCTTACAAACATTTTCCTTTTTGATCCACTGTCAGAAAAGAACTTTAACAGTTTTTCTTTCTTTTTTTTAATATCATACACTGTTGAAGAGCCGATGCTGTATGTTTCACAAATGGTTCGCACAGACACGCCGCTATCAAGTTTTTTAAGCACTTCCACTTTCTCTGCGATCGACAACGCACGATGTTTACGTTTTACGCCACCGCTTTTCTTTGCTGAATCCATGATGGGGCTATACAGCAGCAATTAAATGATAAAATCAGAAGGAATGAGCATGAATGCTTGTTAGCAGGTGCAAGCAAGACCCAACAGCTGATTCTGGAGTACAGCGCTATCAAAACAAAAATGGCGCGTCCAGTCCCGGATTATCCATTAGGCACAGTAGGCACAGTGCCTAGGGCCTACGAAAAATAAAACAAGAACTTTTCTTCCCCTTTTTCTACAGGTTATTATTAAATTGATACTGAGGTACTTTTTTCCATTTATTTATTACTTAATCCTATTAGTGTCCACCGGCTAGCTGTGCTTCTTGTAAACAAAACTATTTCTGTACTGTACTGTACAAGAACAGCTGATCTAACCCATTTTCTTTTACTCAATTCATGGCAAACATCACTGAATCTTATTCTTTCGACATCACATTTTATAATTAGGTACTAGCTTGTGTTATTAGTGAATATGCTGTCAAATGGGGCCCCATATCTTGGAGGTGCCTAAGGCCTACGAAAGTCTCAACCCGTCTCTGGGCGCGTCCAGAAAACAAAGGTGCGCCAAGGCAGGAAATTTGAAAATGCGCTCCGAAATCCATGCCGGAAAACTGAAGGTTCCGGTTTATCGATTGCCGGATTTTTGATGGTCAACCTGTACCTATACAGTACTGTACTATAATGCCATGATACTGTATATTGTGTTGTCAATCTGTGGATGTTATGTAGTGTACATGTATTGTCAATTAACAACCACCATAAGCTTAATTTGGTTTTATTACTTGTTAAAGGTACAGTATTTAAAGAAAATGTGATTCTCTTCCCAAGCCAAAATTGCGACTTTCCTGTTATCAGAACGGTACTTTTTTTCTTGAGACCTTATGTCCGTTTACCCAAAACCCGAGCCTCCAATCATAAAATCCTTGATCCACCCCTGCTTATCTACTTACTATTCTGCAACTTTTTATGTTTATATGACGTTCATACTTTATTCTATTAATTATCAAGCTCTGAAAAAGTATTGGCTAAAAATTACAGCAAACCTGGACACTTACTTTGCTAGTCGGTCAATGTAAGCTTTGTCAAATTTTTCATCCCAGCCACAGTCCAGGAGGAATGTAAAGTCATCAACAGTAAGGAGGTAGCAGTGAGGGGTTTCATCCCCAACTCCCCACACTCCTTCAAACTTCACAATAGACGTCATCTGAAAACACAGATAGAAAATTTAACAACTGCTTGCATGGTTTTTTGTAAGTAAATTGTACATTATTACTGTCTTATAATAGAAAGTTTATAGTCACAGTATATACAGTAGAGTACACATTTCAAGCAATTTTTGTGTAAATAACAGGTACTGTACTAGGAAGTAATTGGGGTCAAAAACAATATGATGGAATCAGATTCTTCAGCCTAATCATGCAGAGCAAAATAGACTTCCACTTCTGCTACAGCTAAATCAGAGTAATTTTACCGAGATGACAATCATTTATTGTGCAAATGCTTTGTTTATAGATAATTAGGCGCCTAGACGCGCACTACTTTCTCTGCCCAGCGGTAACGCAGCCGCACTCGCCTCTCATCCCACGCCAGTTTCATTTTCAGCGTGACGTGGCGTGTGAAGGTTGTTGCCGGTCTTGTGCTACAGTTCTAGAGCTTATAAAGGAACTTCGCTTGAAAATACCAAGATTATACCCAGTATTATAGTTTTAATTTTAAACATCTTTCTAAGAAAGTACTTTTCACAGCAATACTGTCAAAGTGAACTGGGTTTGCTTATAAAGTCTGTTGTATATGACGTATTTCAAAACACTACGCCGCCCGGTCTGGAATAAATGCAGATGCAGGTGGCTGCTCTCATGTCCACAAAAACCATAAAATTACAGCATCTCACAGTAAGTTCTTTCTGTTTAATATAACGGGGGGTCTGAGTAAGGAAGTTGGGTAAGGTTAAGTAGGTTTGTTTGGCTAGGTTGGTGAGGTCTGTTTTTCATACCACTAAGATTAGGTTAAGTTTAATTTAGAAATAAACATTTTTTAACACATTTGCACGAACTACAACAGTGTCCACTATAAAGAAAAGTGAAATAACAGCATTTTTGAAATCGTTTTCTATGAAAAGTGGTCGCCAATAATTACCAACTATACTACTAAGAACATCTGTGGAAAAATTTTATGAAATTGAACCCCTTCTGGTGGTAGTACTCTTCTCAGAAATAACCAAAATTTGTTCTTTCTTTAAAATGCTAGCAACTAAAAAAAATTTCTTTTACAAGACTAAGTGGTAAAATTATCATTTCGGCTATGCACCTATTTGAAAGTAGGTCAGAATCGTTCAAAACATATGAAAAAACATTTTTAAAACAATTTCATCCTGACTTAACCTGACCCAACTTAAACTTAATACACCCACCTCTCGTTTTACGCGGGGGTAACGTTCTTGAAAACCACCGCTTAATTAAAAATAATTTTCTCATAAGAATACATATAATTGGTACAGGTTAGGGGAACCATCATATACCGCACAGGGTACGAACAGTGCTCTCACTTAAATCAAGTACGCGGCCAACACACGCTCTCCTCTCTGAAGGCGGGTGATCACATTTAATTTCACTTACATTAAGATTGTTTTCATGCCTTTTTAGCTTTAGGCGCCCCAGAGGAGGCAGATGGACGTTTTCCAGACATGTTCAATGGGGGAAAACAGCGTTTAACACTCAAAGGTACGTGATAAACACAATGCAAATGAGAGCACAGAGAAAAAGTAATGCTGGTGTGAACTGAGAAAGAGATATGCGGGAAGCTTGCTGGATGTCATCACAGTTGTTGTAGAGAATACTTCATTAGGATGTATTATACCGGGTTATTCTAGTGAGACCGAGAAACAATGAGCACTGCTGGCAAGACGAGTGTTAAGAACCCACGGCCTTGCTGGTGGTACACAAGATGCCAATTCCACTGAACATTGCCCGTTAAAGTACCTGTAAAAGAGCGAGAGTGAAGCAACATTATGGTGAAGAGAAAGTGAAAAGAGATTATCAACTAAAGGAGGAGATCTAATAAGACGAAATGCCTTTGATTCCACCCCATCTAATAGTTGGACAGAAGAAGAGGCACCCCATATATGAGAGCAGTGCCCCAAGTTATGACCAATGAATCCCTTATAAACTTGTAGCAACTGCTCAGGTGTGAAGTAGCTACAGCATCTGTAGAGCCCAGCTTAGAGAAGGCAGCTTTAGCAATGTTGTGGATGTGTGGCTTCCATGACATATTAGACTTTACCTGAAGTATGATACACGGCCAGCAGTTATAATATACTCTGCTGTTCCTACTGTTTTAGATCATTAAACCAACACAGCTCAACATACATTGAATAACAATCTTATATTATACTCTACCTCGAAACTTTCATTAGTAAGCCAGTGCAGCAGATTCTACTTCTCTAGTATCACTTTTAACGTTATCATTGCAGTAAGTCCTTCTATAGTATAAAGGGGGATCCTTTTTCCGTTTTTTTAAACAATAATGTAAGAATATTCCCGTAAATCGCGTGCGTTTGGTTGCCGCCAACTAAAACTTTCTTTCCTGAGCATTGGCTGGAGCAGCTGTAGTGACGTCATTTTGTTTACTGCCAAGGATTATAACAGGAAAGACAAGGAAGCCGAAGATGATCTACTGATAAAGGAAGCTCCAAGTACGGTATACTTGCCAGATACCTCTATAATAGCGCTATCTATTGGCTGCGTCTAAAGGCTATTCATGACATCATAGACGTTCATGTGACGTCATGAGTGAGGGTTTTTTTTAACGTATTCCATTTATTTTAGACATATCAATCTTCATTTATGTATGCATGTATGTATAAATGCATACTCCATTGCCTCAAGATCTTAAATGAATTAAAAAATTAAAAGACAAAATTTTTTAAAACTCTTGCACAAATATCATACAATTACTGCGAGTGATGAATCACCTTCCAGCCGTTACATACATTTGGCGGACGCTCGCCGCAGGTCCACAAAACTGAGAGGCAACTTCTTCGGAGTAAGAGTTGTGAACTCTTGGGGCAATCTGCCAGAGAGTTTTGTGACGGCACCGAGTGTGAGCTCTTTCAAGACCAGACTTGACAAGCACTGGAGCAGTTTCAGATACATTCAGGAGACAGTACAGTGCATCATGCCCAGTACTTGCCAACAGTGTGTAACAGAGACGTGACCGATCGACCAAGCGGCAAACGAGCCGATCAGTGGTGAAGAGAAGAAAAAAAAAGGAAAAGGGAAACAATTTTGCACCTTAGCTTTCGTCTTTATTCAAGACATCTTCAGAGGCAACTGAATTTACAGGGACAGAGAGGCTTGTATACATGGCGTGACCTTACAAAACTTCAGGTCAGGTCAATAACAAGAGTCTTCTAATCCACTACAACACCTGAGCAGCTGCTTCAAGCTTATAAGGGATTTATTCGTCCTAACTTCGAGTACTGCTCTCATATATGGGGTGGCTCTTCTGTTCAACTGTTAGATAGGGTGGAATCAAAGGCATTTCGTCTTAATAACTCTCCTCATTTTGCTGATAATCTCTCTTCATTTTCTCATCGTCGCAATGTTGCTTCACTCTCTCTCTCTCTCTCTCACTCTCTCTCTTTTACAGTTACTTTATGGGGCAATGTTCGGTTGATTTGGCATCCTGTGTACCGCCGGCAAGGCCGGGGGCTCTTAACACTCGTCTTGCCCGCGGTGCCCACCGTTTCTCTGTGGATGTCGGTCACACTAGAATAACCCGTTATAGTACATCCTTCTTTCCTCACACAGACAAACTGTGGAATGCTCTGCCTTCTTCTGTTTCCATGCTCTTACGATCTGTCTCACTTCAAAAAAGCTGGTGTAGTGGATTCCTCCTCTTGTCGCTGAGTAGCCGAACCCGCGAATTCCCCAGTGTATGCCTCTGGTCTAGGTCAACCAGCGCCGCCTTACATGACGGAGGTCAACTATTAAGCCACGCCTACCTCCGCTATATAAGACCTGACCTCGTGGTGACCTACCTCTCTTTCTACCTACACCAACCAGCAAGCAACACCTCCTCCTCTTCCTCCTGCCTGGCGGTCCTCGCTCCCACCCTCACCAATCAGCTCTCTCTACATCACGCTTGTAACCATGCTACCTACCCAGCACCAAGCTGCACTGTACATCCAATACAACATGTATACAGAGAGCACATTGTGAGTTTCTTTTCTCCATCCCATCCTGAGTGTGAACCCAAACAATCCGTACCCCACACTGGTCTTTCGGCACCCTCTTGGTGTAGTTTATTAGTCTTTTTCTCTTCTATTTTTAATTTCTTTTTACTCTATTTTTTTCGCCTTCCACACCCTGTTGTGGGTCGATGACCCTCAGTGTCAAGACCTGACTGAATTACTCAGAATAGGCAAACTGTACTACAAGCTTTGCCAATAAATTTGTTAAACTAACTAAAGATGACCTGTGCCCGGGTGGGTTATTCCCGCAAAAAAAAAAATATTGAGTCATCTTGACGTCATTTAAGTTTTCCACCCACAAGGAGGAGACATTAAACTTTGTTTGGGAGCTTCTCGAGAGATGGCGCAGCAGTCAGGGTCAGTTCCTCTGTATATGTTCCTTGGTCCTCCAGCTCCAGCCAGGGAAACAGTGACAGTAAACATGTTAGAACGGTTACTCTACCACACCGTCTTTGTGTAGGTGGAAACTTACCGGTACTTTAATTTATTTGGTACTTATCAGTTTACTAGCCGTTAGGGCCGTTGCTTTTTACTGTATTAGACCTTCATTGTCCAGTGACACCAAAAGAAAACCTGCAACGTTTGGTAATGAGGGTCACACTCAGCTATCACAGCTGACCTGGCTGGGAGTGCACCCACAGGACACATCGTGAGAGGCTAAAGGGAGTTATTTTACTATTGTGAACGCATTTAAAACCATACCTAACCATCACTAGCACAGTTACAGATACATTTTGGAGCCCGTACTTGCCAACAGTGTGTAAGTCAGAGGGATACACCCCATTTCGTCACTGACCCGGTTTGTCACCAAAACCCCATTTCGTCACCAATATCAAATCCATTTCGTCACCACCAACAGTCGCTGGAATTAGTGACAAATTGTAAGTTATTATTGGTAAATTTGCACTGTCACACCGTTCACTTTTAAACCGAATATAACCATCATTTCTGGCGGAAATCAGCCGGGTTTTTTTGCGATATTTTTTCGTTTGACGTTTTCTGAGAAAAACGTGGCTAAGCGACTAAAAAAAACAAGAAAAAAACCAAACCTAACCTAACTGACTCTCACCATATGATGGAATCACCTATTTCTTACCTTATTGGCCTGGTTCTTGTTCGTCGTTGGATTCTGAGATTCTTGCACAACGCCACATATGTTGGTCTTTGCGATATTTACATTCAGTCTTGCTCTTAGTACACTTTACTGAGGTTGGAAGAACACCATGCGATCGAAAAAATACTATAGTTTCTTCGTTTTTTTCCCAATAAATTGTCTTAGTGTTTTTTATTATTTTCTATCCCAAGCAACAGTTATTTTTGTGTATATGTTGATGGAAATGAACGTGGTGATGAAATGGGTAAAGCAGTGGTTACAAAACGGGTTAAAAATGGTGGTGACAAAACGGGTTGGTGAAGATATGGGCAGACCCCAGTCAGAGACGTGGGCCGTGGCTGACCGCCTAAATGGCTAACCAACCAATCAGACCAATCAGTGGTGGAGGATCAAGTACCATAGTACTGTCTGTACAGTCAGTACTATCGTTTTTTTTTCTAGATGCACAGAATAGCTAACGCGTTAGCTATTCTGTGCATCTACAATAAACGCATTATACAGCTGCTCCCCGACTAAAGACGGGGTTAGGGACCGACATCCAGGTCGTAAGTTGAAATGGTCGTAAGTCGGAAATGCTTAAATAATACATAGAAAATCTAAAATGGGTGTCTCTTTTTCTTCTCAGCACCACAAAACACTCACTTTTATGCTTGCCAGCCATTTTAAAGTGAATTACAGATGAAAATTTTGTCGGTGTACTGACTTTGGGACTCAAAAATACGTAATTTGACCAAATTTTGGTACGACTGAGGCAGGCCGTAAGTGCGGGTGGATGTAAGTCAAGTACAGTCAGTTCTGCTATAACACGATAGTTGTGTTCTTGTAAAATATCGTGTTATAGAAAATCACGTAATAGAAATAACAGGGCTTATGGAGAAAATAGGGTTAGGTGCAGATTACTACATTACTCGAAATCGAAAAAAAATTAGTAGTTAGCCTAACACAAAGGATAGCACAGTCTAAATAAATGTTACATTCATATCTAATAATGAAATCATACAGTAAATGTAACACTTTACCTAGAAAAAATATGAATAAAATTTGATGGGGGAGAAGGGTGATGTTGAGGTTGATAACATCGAGCTTCTCTTGAAGTGTTATAGCCTTTCTTTTACGGTCATCACCGGGAATTCTATCACCAGAGCGCTTCTTGGAGATATTCTTCTTTACCATATTCACAGTTAATTCCACAAAATTGGAGAAATAGTAAGCAAAAATCGCGTTACAGCAAACAAGCGTTCGCGTTATACAAATATCGTTCCTCTATTCATAAATCGCGTTAGAGCCAATTCTCGTTATCAAAACACGCGTTATAGCAGAACTCACTGTAGGTCGTAAGTCGGGGAGGAGCTGTACTGTTAAGGGGTGTGCCCATTTTGTCACCAACCCGTTTCGTCACCACTGCTTTTACTCGTTTCGTTGCTGCATTCATTCCCATCACTATTTCAAGGGCAATACATTCCAGAAAATTCTTACATAATTAATACATCAATATATACACGAAAATCACTGTTGCTTCGGATAGAAAACAATCAAAACATCTAGTTTACAAAATTGTACTGTATTATGAAATTATGCTTCAGCATAACAATACAGTGACCCCTCGGTTAACGAACTCAATCCGTTCCAGAAGGTCGTTCGTTAACCGAAAAGTTTGTTAACCGAAACCATTGTTTCAATGGGTTTTTGGGTAATTGGTTCCAGCTCACCGAAAATTTCCTAAATTCAACAAAAATGGTAGAAAAGTTCACTTACTTTGAGGTGTGTAAGTAGAAGGCTCCTGGATGATGATGATGATGATGGGATTGGGGTGGAAGATAAGTCACCCCATGGTGCCATTTCACCCATAAAATTTTAGTTCTCATGGTGTATTTCAAGATTATTTTCTTTAAATCAACACTGCACTGCATTATATATTGTCAATATGTAAAATATATTTCAAAATGACCAATAATTTGCTTGGAAACACAGAAAAAAAGCGTTTAGTTGAAGAGAGTCTCAAGCAAGATGTTACCTCCAGTGAAAACAGAGAGAGACTAACGCCTGTTTGCTGTGTTAAGAGGCTGGATGGCACGCCAGAAACTAGTTTCTTTACCTTCAATTATGTTCAATAATTGTTAAAATGACTAAAAAAGTTAATATTAAACTTTTAAAATTATTGAAAAGTATAAACTTCTTGATATTTACTAAAATAGTAAGGAATTTAAGCCCTAGAACCGATTAATGTATTGGCGGACTGATACTAAAGCTGGTTGCCCGGCCAGTGCAAGCGAAAACATGTTGAGGTCGGTTCGTAAGAAATTCGTTAACCGAATTTTTGTTCGTTAACCGAATTGAAGATCCTTATGAAAGGCAGTTCGTTAACCGAAATTTCGTTAACTGAGGCGTTCGTTAAACGAGGGGTCACTGTACATTGGATTATGCAAGCATCTCACTAAGACAATTTATAGGACCTAACACAAAGCATATGGCATGAAAAAATTGAAAAGAATTGTGCCTAGTTGAAACTAGTTTTGGCTCCGCCCATTGTTAAGAGGGTACTGTCCGATTTCATTAGTTGTTGGTAACTTTGGTGTAACAATATTGATAATTACTCAAATATGATTAAAACTAATATCATTACTCATAAGATACTTTAAATAAGGGTGAAAAGTTTATTACAGTTCTGTAAGTGCAAAAATTAAGACATAACGAACCTGAAATCCGTCGTATTGCGTGTACTGTATATTATATGCGGACACCTGTAAGCAACACAATGTAGCCGCGAGATGAAAGAACATACAGTAAGTAGTGGGGCACCTTTCCTGTATCAAAAATGGATCAAGCTGCCATGGCTATTGTTGACTGATTTACTTTTTTCCTTTTTGTCCTTCCATATTTTTCTATATATTTTCTTCATTATTTCTTTCCATAATGTGTCCAAATAACAGTTCTAATTTTATTGTTCCCTGAAGACTGTGTTTTACAACAGTTATTTCCAAGATGTGGTACAAATGTTGTATTTTATAATGACAATCTGGGAAGCTAACGTGTTAGCTATTCTCTGCATCTTAAAATGCCTTTCAAAAAATGCCTATAGTTCACATAGGGTATGTGTTCCAACTTACGTACATTTTAACTTTTAAAAACTTCCTCAGGAATGGGACTCTTTCATAACCCGGGGAACCCCTGTAATAAAAATGATCTGACAAATTTTTATATTAGTTATAAGAATTGATTTTTTTTATATTATTTTCCCCCATCTATGATCATAAATCACCAGTAGTGGGGCAAAATACGGTGAAAACTGATCATATGCCACTGTCTCTATGTGCTTTGTGCACGAAGGAATTAATTATTTACCATAAATATTCAGCTGAAAATCAGCCGTGTTGACACATGTTGTCGTCTGCTCTTTGTTTATTTAAGTTAGCATGTCATTTGGTCCATGGGAGATTTATTGATGGATTATTTATGGTAAATACCTGTGTTGTTCTGTACAGTCAAACTGAGCCGATTATTGAGAATTGACCAATAGAAATGTGAAGGATCAGTTGTGACATCCTTGAGGCTGTAGCTTCCAACTGGGCTTCTTAGCAGATCAGGTCATTGTGGGAACAAAAGTGACAAGAGACTGTGCAACATGGAGAGCTGCCATCAGGTAATTTAAATGTGGTTAACCCAGGCAGTTGGTGGAAAATGGCTATAAAACATTAATGATGATATTGGCCACACACGAAGAAATCCTAACATCTAACATGCATGACAAAAGGAAGCTTGACTCAATTTTGATGTTGTATCTTAGTAAAAGTATAGAATATTTTGGCACAGCTATATGCAGGTTGCTGTACTTACTTTTATCCTCTTCGCCACTGATCGGCTCATTAGCTGCTGGGGCAATCGGTTACATCTCTGTTACGCACTGTTGGCAAGTACTGGGCATACACTGGCTCCTGGATGTATCTGAACCCGCGCCAGTGCTTGTCAAGTCTGGTCTTGAAAGAGCTCACACTCGGTGCCGTCACCACACTATCTGGCAGATTGTTCCAAGAGTTCACAACTCTCACTCCGAAAAAGTTACCCTTCACAGTTTTCTGGACTTGCGGCTTCTTTAACCTTGAGCTGTGACCCCTTGTGGGGCGAGAGTCCGCCAGCTCCAGGTAAGGACACTCGACTGAGTAGTGCCCTTAGAGATGCTTGTACACCTCAATCAGATCTCTTCTTTCCCATCTGTAGTACCTGTATAAGCTAGACAAGTTCAGGCACTCCAATCTCTCCGGGTAGCTGAGGTTCCGCAGTGCAAGCACCAGTCTGGTGGGGCTTACTGTCAGCTTTCCACATGTGGTCTTGGCTGGGCTGTAGATGGTCCTGTACAGTGCTGTACAGTATTCCTTTATCTCCAGAGTTGGAGAATATTTGCCAGTTTTCACTTGGGCAGTGTTTGCCACTTTTTTTTTTTTTAATAAATGGACCTGACAACAATCTACATCTACTGTTTATTAACTTTGTATCAATAAATGTGTATTAAATGTAAAATATATATAATAATTGTGTACAATAATTATAAAAAAATTCTTCTCAAATTCATGTACAGTAGTGTTCTGAACAGAAATCTCAGAACATAGTACTGGTATGTCTCTGATAACACTGTACTTTGAATGAAGTGTGGCTGTCCAGTGCAGTACACTCCCAGCAGGCCACACTGGTATTAAGAAGTGTGTTATTAAGAGGGTTTATTTTACAGTACACTACTGCACTAATTGACATGGTACAGTATTACTTACTGTATACTGTACTTAAATGAGATGTAAGCATTGTTCTGCATTCAATGAAGATAAATAACCAATTCTTAAAGAATAAGAATGCCTCAGGTCCTCCCAGGGGTGTGGCACTGAGGTACGTGTTTGTCTCTGGAAATGTTCTGTGATGTACTACTATAGGTAGGTGGCAAGTGAATAACAGATGGCACACAAGTTGAACCTGACTTACTGACTCTCCTTAAACAGACACATGTGTCTTGTACTGTTCTCATTTCATTTAAGAATGGAGATATTTAGGTACCGTATGACTTTAAAGGTATCCGATTCATTAATGCCATGGTGTTGGATTCACCAGACTTGACAAGGTGGGCTTTGTCACAAAGGATTGGCCTCCTCTCAAAATCCAGTCATTCGCTCCATTCTCTGTCATGAAATGGGACTTCAGGATTCTTTTCCCATTTTTTATAATGATTTCAATACAATACTGTACATCCATGATGCATTATAAGAATGTTAAGATAAATATGTTGTAATATGTATGTGCATTTTTTGCAGAATAAATAAGAAATGAATTGGGTAGCTCAGTTACCGAGGATTGTTTTGAAGCCAGGATGTAAATATTGTGTCCCAGTGGGGACCAAGGCATCCAGGTACTTCTCCTCTTCTCCCACACTGCCACCAGGTATGCCTCCACTTGTCTTTGCAATGATCAAGAAATTTCAAAACAAAAGGATTTATTTTAAACTCATTTCATGGCTAAGCCTAGAACTGCTGCCATAGGTGGCTTGAGTATACAGAGGGTAGTTTACATCAAGTCATTTGTTTAGACCCAGGAAACCTGATGTAAGTCACTAGGATTGATCTATATTACGTACTTGTATTCCTTCCTGTTGCAGTCATCACCCAGAGGAGGGAGAATAGAATTAAGGATTTCTCACAGACAATAAGGAGTACAGTACTGTACACTTGTACAGTGATCCCTCGGTTAACGAGCGCCTCAGTTAACGAAATTTCGGTTACCGAATTACCTTCCATAAGATTCTTCACTTCGGTTAACGAGCAATCCCTCGATTAACGAATTCCTTACGAGCGCCCCTCAACATGTTTTTTCTTGCTCACTAGCTGTCGTATTAGTCCGCCAATACAGAAATCGGTTCTAGGGCTTAAATTCCTTACAATTTTAGTAAATATCAAGAAGGTTGTACTATTCAATCATTTTAAAAGTTTTATATTAATTTTCTTAGTAATTTTATCAATTATTGAATATAATTGAAGTACAGGAAACTAGTTTTATGAGCGCCAAACAGCCTGTCAACACACCAAGCTTGGCGTCAGTTTGTTTACACGTTCAGAGGAAGGAGCATCTTGTTTGAGACTCTTCAACATAAACGCTTTTTTTCTGTGTTTCCAGTCAAATTATTGGTCATTTTGAAATATATTTTACATATTGATAATATATAGTGCAGTGCAGTGTTGTGTTGATTTAAAGAAAATAATCTTGAATTACACCAAGTGAATTAAAATTTTATGGGTGAAATGGCGGCATGGGGTGACTTCTCTTCCACCCCAATGCCTTCTCTTCTCCCTTCTCCTCCACCCCCATTCTAATTCCAATCATCATCATCAACCAGGAGCCTTCTACATGCACACCTCAAAGTAAGTGTATTTTAATGCATTTATTTTTCGTTTGTATGTAATTTTCGGTGAGCTGGAACCAATTACCCAAAAACCCATTGAAACAATGGTTTCGGTTAACGAGCAACCTTCTGGAACGAATTGTGCTCGTTAACCAAGGGACCACTGTACTGTAGAAGGACTGGACGAACATGTTATTTTACACTGACCAGTGTACATTTTACCCTTTCCTTAGTATCAGTCATATTGGTTTACTAGACAGTAAATCAAGAAATATATTTCTGTGCAGCAAATAGTACTGCATTCTCTTCCAATCTTGTTCTTAGGTGAAGGGAAGGTTTTTGAGGTTAGTGATAAAATGCAATTTATGGTACTGTACAGCAGGCATGGGCAACCTTTCCTCAGTCATGGGCTGCTTTACAATTTATGTGTATTTTTCTGTGGGCCTACCCACCAAAACTTATATCCTACCTAACCCAAAAGTAATGTTAATATTGTATTAGCACGGACAGTGATGCAGTTTATCATCACGTCCACCTTACGATATTTTCTGTTTACAATTACAGTCTTTTTCCCATTTATGAAACAAATCCACCATTTTCGTGGTTACAGTACTTACTTTTAGGTGATGAAACAGTAACGAATTGTGTGTGAAGATTATATTGCTTTACTCACCATCTACCTGAACCGCAGGCCTCATTAAATAAAATGTCTCAAATCACTCTGTGGGCCACACAAAGACATGGTTCGGGCTGCCCATGCCTGTTATGCAGTATTCTAGGCCGAGTACAGTACTGTACAGTATTTTAGGCCAAGTAGGGTACTGGACAGTGGTCCTTCGGTTAACGAACACAATTCGTTCCAGAAGGTCGTCAGTTAACCAAAAATTTTGTTAACCGAAACCATTGTTTCAATGGGATATTGGGTAATTGGTTTCAGTTCACCGAAAAGTAAATACAAAGTAAAAAAAAAAATAATGCAGTAAAGTACACTTACTTTGAGGTGTGTATGTAGAAGGCTCCTGGTTGATGATGATGGGAATTAGAAGTGGGGGTGGAGGAGAATGGAGAAGAGAGGAAGTGGGGATGGAGGAGAAATCTCCTTTCAGGGGACCCATGCTTGATGCCGTCATTTCACCAATAAAATTTTAAGTTCACTGGGTGTAATTCAAGATTATTTTCTTTAAATTAACACTGCACTGTGCTATATATTATCAATATGTTAACTAAAGTTCAGAATGAACAATAATTTCAATGAAAAATGCAAAATATTCAAGACACCAACAAAATAGATGTTCACTCCAGTGTCAACAGAGCCCAACTGACGCCTGTTGGCTGAGTCAAGCGTCTGGTGGGAACACAAAAAACTAGTTCCCTGTACTGCATATATTATCAATATGTTAAATGAATGTTAAAATGACTAATAATTTTAATATAAAAAATGCAAAAATATTAAAGAGCACAACTTTCTTGATATTTACTCCACTGGAAGCGAATGTAAACATAGAACAGATTACTGAATTGGCAGACTAGCCCATCAGCTGATGCTCACAACAAAACGTGATGTTCGTAAGGATTTCGTTAATCGAAGTTGTATATATATTATGTATTCTGTATGTATATTATGTATGTGCTCCATTTATATACACTTTATTCAGCCTAGCTAGCAGCGTGTGGCAATGTATTTACCATGTCCCACACGCTTAATTAATGTGCCTGGTGACATATGGGAGCTGTTAGTGTATCACTTGCCACATGTCGCCTAGAGGCTAGTTGACCCCCCAGACAGAGTAAGGAGCGCCACCTCCCTTGTGCACATATTTGTTTATCCAGTAAATAAAACCTACGAAAACTCTACAGGTGTTTGTGTTCGCTCCTGTAGATAGAACTTGATACCCAGAACACATGCAGGAGTTTTGTTCGTTAACCAAATTGAAGATCCTTATGGGAGGTAATATGTTAACCAAAATTTTGTTAATCGAACCGTTCGTTAACCGAGGGACCACTGTACTGTACAGTAATTCCAAAATTCGGATATAACAAATTCTAGTTTGTTTCTGGTACCAAACTTGTTGGGTAATCAATACACTGTACTATACAGTACAGCATACTGCAGCTATAAGAATTACATGTCATTTACACTGTTTCAGACGTAGCATTTGAGGAATTGCAGCAAAATCTTACTGATGAAAAAGTGATGCTGATTGATGTCCGCACATCCAAGGAACTAAACAGATATGGGAAAATTCCTAAATCCAAGAACATTGGATGTAAGTATTAGTGGTGTGCACTGTGATTGCTGTTAAATTAATTACTGTACTGTATACAGTAGACCCTTGCCATTCACGAGTTTGCGATTCACGATTTCTATGATTCGTGGTAAGCAGATGGTGGCTAGCTCGTGAGCCTTTTCCCGCAGCACCTCGTGTTGTACTCTCAAAACTTTAGTGTCTCTGTGTTAAATGGCCCCTAAAAGACTGCCTAGTGTCAGTGCTAGTGAAGTTAAATGTAAAAGGCAGAAGTCAGTGATGACCCTGACAAAGAAAGTTTTATTATTAGACAAGTTAAAAGAGGGGATGAGTTCTGCCATGGCTGGTCAGTTGTTTGGTATTGGTATAGTATACAGTAGTGCACTAAGGTAGTTTAAGTTGCTATTCACGGTTTTGCTTATTCTCGCCATTCCTTGCAACCTATCCCTCACAAATGACAAGAGTTTACTGTATACACACAATATATGTACATGTACTGTATCTGACATCTTTGACTGTATTCTGTGTAGTATTGTTTACACATACTGTACTGTACATGTTGTTTATTGGATTTAGAGCAAGGTTAAGCTAGCAGCATCCTGCTTAAACATTTGGCTAACCCCTGTCATTGATGGCTGTCACTAAAGTAAAACATATACTGTAACAATGTTTGTATCACAGCCCAAGGTGTCTAGGAGGCAGAGGTTCACCACTTAAGGATTTAGAGTCTTGGTACTACCTTGGGGAATGAGGTGGGAGAAGCCACTGCCATGAGGATGGGCCACACTGTTGGTTATTTTTTATTCATTCTGAATTCACATCGTTTAATTCATTTTAGAAAAACATACGAATTAACCCAAAATCCGAATTACAGATACAGGTTGACAATCCCTTATCCGAAATCCTTGGGACCAGATGCATTTTGGTTTTTGGAATTTTTCGGATTTCAGAATGGGTTTTTTTTTTATATACAGGGATTAGCCCACCCGGGCACAGCAGGTCACTGACTCACATTGGGGCCTGGGGGGCTAAAATATAATAATAATAATAATAATAATAATAATAATAATAATTCATAGGTCTAGGTCATGTTTCTCACTTTTGATCTTTTTTTCATTCTTGTATTTCTTTATTATTATTATTATTTCATTATTACAGTATTATTGTTGTTGTTATTATTATTATTATTATTATTATTATTATCAATCTTATTTTATTTTTGTGTATTTTTTATTAAAAATTTAATTACTATGAATAATTATTATTATTACTGTATTATTATTATTATTACCAGTATTATTATAATTATTATTACTATTACATTTTCACCCCCCAGGCCCTGATGTGGGTCAGTGACATGTGCCCGGGTGGGCTAATACCCATATACTGTATATATAAAAAAAAAAAAAAAGGCTCCAATATTTTTTTCGGTTTTCAGAGCTTTTCGGTTTTCGGAATTTCGGATAAAGGGTTGTCAACCCTTACAAACTCTCCCCCATGTCATTCTTGGCTCTCCTCCCCTCCACATTTTTTTTTTATTATGGGAATAGCCCACCTGGGCACAGGTCATCTTCCCACAACAGGGCCTAGGGGGCAAAAAATAAGAGTAAAAAGGAATTAACCCCTAGGCCACGGGTGACGTTCCAGAACGTCCGCCTATTCCCTGCACTTTTTTAAGTGGATTTTTCTCGATTTATCCCCGTGAGGGTGGAGGGGGGGGGGTTACCGCCATCGGCACCCTAACCCAGGGCTTAAGGGTTAAAAATAGAAAAGAAAAAGATTATATTAATCTACACCACGAAGATGCCGGAAAACCAGCTTTTTGAAGTGAGACAGATTGTATGAGTATGGAAACACAGAAGAAGGCAGAGCATTCCACAGTTTGGCTGTGTGAGGAAAGAAGGATGTATTATAACTGGTTATTCTATTGTGACCTCCATCCACAGAGAAACAATGGGCACCGCTGGCAAGACGAGTGTTAAGAGCCCCCGGCCTTGCCGGCGGTACACAGGATGCCAAATCCACCGAACATTTCCCGTTAAAGTACCTGTAAAAGAGAGAGAGAGAGAGTGCAGCAACATTGCGACGATGAAGGGAAGAAAGATTATCAACTAAAAGAGAAGAGTTAATAAGACGAAATGCCTTTGATTCCACCCTATCTAACAGTTGGACAACAGAAAAGCCACCCCAGATATGATAGCAGTACTCCAAGTTAGGACGAATGAATCCCTTTTAAACTTGAAGCAACTGCTAAGGAGTGAAGTAGCTACGGCATCTGTACAGCATTCCCAGCTTTCGGGAGGCAACTTTGCAATGTTGAGGATGTGTGGCTTCCATGACATATTAGAGGAAATGGTGAGGCCTAGCATATCTATTTTAGAATTTGGCAGAATGATTGCATCCAGAAATGTGATTGGTGGGAGATCATCCAATTTGGAAAGTGTAATTGGTAAATACAGAGTTTTATTACTATTGAATTTAACCAAGTTTCTACCTCCCCATTCGGAGATGCTGCACAGATCCGCATTGATAGATGAAATGATATCGGCTCTAGAAACAGATCTAGTTTGAGAATTAGGGAGAAGGAAAAAATGTGAAGAAGAGTGAAGAGTAGAATCATATATATCTTGACCCAATTGATTTCATCCATTCTCTCTACATACCAGTATAATGTTAAGAGGCAGGAAAATATCTTTATTGTAAGTATGTTCAATTATCTTTAAAATATTTTCAGTGTTTATCCTGGGAACTCACCTCCTACTCCCTGAAGTGGAATTTGAATCACAACTTGGTTTTAAAAAGCCAGCGCTGGATGAGCCTGTTATTGTTTCTTGTCTGGCTGGTGTTCGTGCTAGAACTGCTCAATTAGCAATGATAGGAGCTGGCTACAAGAATGTTAGGTAAGTACAAATCCTGCTACAGTTTTCCTTGTCTTTCTCACAGTGACCTCCATGTCGTAAACATCCCAGTTAGACCCTTCAAATATATATATTTTTTTTTGTAAAACCAGCAGTTATTATTAATTTTTGGTCCTGAAGAATGACTTCAAAGTGTATATCTAGTGATGAGACTTGCTGTAGCAGAGGCTGAGAAGAGTGTGGGTGTGTGGCAGGGTGAACTGTTACTAGGGGTAGGCAATGGCAGCATCCTAGCTGGTTTGCCTTGCTAAGGTGAGCGTTGAGGCCAGACGGCCGTGTAAACAATGGCATTTCTAACCACATCCTGCAAAATACAGTGTACTTAGCAAATGCTGCAGCTTCTGAGAATGGAGGGGGACCGGAGATACTACGAAGAGCAGAGACGTTACTGAGAACAAATTCTGGCTTGAATGTCATGTACACTAATACTGATACATTCCTTGATAAGAGAGACGAGTTTGAAACACTACTGAAGGTGCACCAACCCGATATTTTACGAGTTGTAGAACTGCTGTACAAGAACAGGAGAATTGATCCAGAGGAATGCGAGTTCAGCATTGCTGGATATGACTCATTTATGAACCTTTCTCAAGAAACTTGCAAGAGGGGTGTGGTTATCTATGCTAGGCAAGACCTTAGAGCCAGCCAGGTAAGGGTACAGGGAGAGGATGTTTTTGAAGAGTCCAAGTGGTGTAAAATTAAATTAAAGGGAGGGGACTTATTTATTGTCCAGTGTATCTACAGATCCCCAAACTGTGGCCCACTAAATCAAGGGAACTTAAGAGCCTTCATAGACAATGCAGCAATGCTCAACCCTAGCCACCTCCTTATCATGGGGGACTTTAACTAAGGCGACATCAACTGGAGAAACGAGTTCACCCCAAATGACTTGAATAACCCTGCTACTCTTTTTGTAGAAACTCTGAGAGATAATTTTCTGTTCCGACATGTTAGAGACCCAACACATTATAGAGGGGAGCAAACACCCAAGCCACTAGACATCGTAACAAACGAGGAGGGTATGGTGGCCAAACTGGAACACCTTGCCCCAGTTGGCACCAGTCACCATATAGTTTTGTCATTCAGATTTAACTGTTACCTAGTTCAAGATAAGGCCAGGCCAAGGTGCAAATATTACAAGGGAAATTATAACGGGAGGAGATGAGGGGTATCCACTGGCCTGACTCATTAAGGCACAACAATGCAGACACTACACTTAATATCTTAACTAGTAAAGTGACCCATTTGATCGATAAATATATACCCAAGACCAAACCCAGTGCCGCTAGGTATACGAGGGGATCCCTACACCTAAACCATGCGGCGGTCGACAAAGTTAAGAAGAAAACTCAGAAATTCAAGGAGTGGGTTGGGTCAAACGATGAGCAGGACAGGAGGATGTATGCAAGAACCAGAAACCAAACAAAGGCAGAGTGTAGCAGGGCTGAAAAGGAGTTCCAGAGGCTGGTTGAAGCAAGGTCAAGTCAAAGCTAAAGGCGTTTTACCGCTATGCAAGTCGAAATTAAAAATGCAAGTAGGAGTATCAGACCTGAGGCTTGAAGATGGTAGTTAAGCAGATTCTGACCAGGATAAAGCTGAGGCATTAAACAGCTTCTTTTCCTCGGTGTTCACAAGAGAGGATGCGATTAACCTTCCTGCGTTTGAGGACAGACAGTTCGACACAGCACTGACCCACATTGTGTTCACAGAAGAGGGTATTAGATATAAACTGTCAAAGCTAAAGGTCCCTAGGAGTCCCAGCCCTGACATGGTGCATCCTAGAGTGCTAAGAGAGTTGTGCACCAAGCTTGCCGAGCCCCTGAAGATCCTATTCTGTAAATGACTGGATGAACAAAAGGTCCCCAGTGATTGGAAAATGGCTCATGCGAGTCCTATCTTCAAGAAGGGCAATCGTCACTCCCCGAACAACTATAGATCGGTGAGCCTGACCAGCATAATTTGTAAAGTGAGAGTATTATAAGAGATGCTGCGATGGAACATCTACTACGAAACAACCTTGTAAAGGATTGCCAACACCGTTTTACGCTGGGGCGCTTCTGCTTAGCACAATTGCTCAAGGTATTGGATATTGGATATTTGGACCCATATTCTGGAACGGGGTGGTAATATCGACATTATTTACCTAAATTTTGCCAAGGCTTTCGACAGTGTACCCCCAAGAAAGGCTAAAAATCAAACTAGAAGGGTACGGAATTCGGGGAATTGTCCTAGCGTGGATAGAAGACTTTCTACATGACAGCAAGCAGTGTGTGGTGATTAATGGCACGAAATCATTATCTGTACTTGTCACAAGAGGGGTACCACAGGGCAGTGTATTGGGCCCGCTGTTGTTTGTTTGTTTCACAAATGACATGTCTGACGTACACTCCTCCATACAAATTTTTGCCGATGATGCCAAGTTATTTCGGGAAATCGAGAACCATGCGGACTGTGAAGAGCTGCAGAAGGACCTCTGTGAGCTCCAAGAATGGTCAAAGAAGTGGCTGCTGAGATTCAATGTCACGAAGTGTAAGAGGATGCACCTGGGGCGTACCAACAGTAAGGAGGCGTATCATATGTCTCAACGTGGTGAAGAAACTGCACTATTTGAGACTGAATTTGAGAAGGACCTAGGTGTGTATGTTGACAATGAGCTAAAGTTTTTGGGCCATTGCGAGAAGAAGGTAAATCAGGCAAATAAATTATTGGGTCTTATAAGAAGGTCGTTCAGATTTCTAGACGGTCCGTCCCTCGTAATGATCAGTCTGGTCCCCGAGATATACAAGGGACTGTCAGTTGATTGAAAATGTTCAAAGGAGGGCCACCAGACTGCTGCCTGCACTTAGGCACCTCAACTACCCTGAGAGATTGGACCGCCTGAACTTGCCTAGCTTATACTACAGATGGGCAAGGGGCGACATAATTGAGGTGTATAAGCATCTCACGGGGCACTCAGTCGAGTGTCCTTACCTAGAGCTGGCGGACGCTCGCCCCACAAGGGGTCACAGCTGAAGGCTGAAGGAGCCGCAAGTCCAGAAAACTGTGAGGGCAAACTTTTTTGGAGTGAGAGTTGTGAACTCTTGGAACAATCTTCCAGAAAGTGTTGTGACGGCACCGAGTGTGAGCTGTTTCAAGACCAGACTTGACCAACAGTGGAGCAGGTTCAGGTACATTCAGGAGCCAGTGCATGCCCAGTACCGACCAACAGTGTGTAACAGAGAGCCAGTACATGACTAGTACTTCCCAACAGTGTGTGACAGAGATGTGACCGATCGCCCAAGCGGCTAACGAGCCGATACACTCATATCTAATAATGAAATCATACAGTAAATGTAACACTTTACCTTGAAAAAATATTAATATAACTTGATGGGGGAGAAGGGTGATTTTGGGGTTGATAACATCGAGCTTCTCTTCAAGTGTTATAGCCTTTCTTTTACGATCACCACCGGGAATGCGATCACCAAAACGCTTCTTGGAGATATTCTTCTTTTCCATATTCACAGTTAATACCACAAAATTGGAGAAATAGTACGCAAAAATCACTGAGGATGCTTCAAAACAACCCACGTGTTTCAACTGATCGTGTGATGGAAACAGAGAGCGCGGGTGTAAAATACTACAGTTGGCCCTTAACATACGCGGGTTTGGCATACACGGATTTGTAAATACGTGGATTGCCCCGCCGGAGGAATATTCTGTACATTGAAGTAATTGAAGTACATTCAAATCGCGCACCATTCAACTCGCTCGCGGCACCGAACACGGGACACCGCCCGCTCCCGCAACCTCACACACACACACACACGCATAGCTCTCCCTCACTCAGTCAGTCTCGCTGTAACCACGCTTGTGTTGACATCAGCATTGTAGCTGCAAAAATATTACATTTCTGTGAATGTATTATATCAAGCACAGTATGAATAGAATATCACTAATATAAGAGTATTTTAACCGAAAACTACTAAAAAAACGAGTAACATATCTTGAACATCGGAAGGTTAGGTAAAGTCTTTTGTTTTCATGTAGTTTATCCTAATTTACATTGAAATGCATTACGTTTCAGCAAAACTACTATTTATTTCTGAGAATATGGAAATGTAATATTTTGCTGAAATGACGTACGTATTACAGTGGAAAGTGACGAAAGCAATGACTCGCTTTCTTTCGTTCAAAAGATGTTACCGTAATCGCTTTTCGAATGGTTTTCAGTTAAAAAACTGTTGTATTACAATAATATTCTATCCTAATTCACTTGTGATGCAACAGTTTTTTTAACTGAAAACCATTCGAAAAGCGATTACGGTAACATCTTTTGAACGAAAGAAAGCGAAAGTCATTGTTTTCGTCACGATTTTATCCCACTTTCCACTGTAATACGTACGTCATTTCAGCAAAAATATTACATTTCCGTGAATGTAGTATATCAAGCACAGTATGAATAGAATATCATTGTAATATAACAGTATTTTAACCGAAAACTATTAAAAAAACGAGTAACATCTCTTGAACATTGGAAGGTTAGGTAAAGTCTTTTGTTTTCGTCATGTATTTTATCCTATTTTACATTGAAATACATCACGTTTCAGCAAAACTACTATTTATTTCTGAGAATATATTCATTCAGGCACAGTTTAGATAAAATATACATGTGCTGTAACATTTTTTTAATTGAAAACGATTCGAAAAACACGTACCCTCTAGCCCTGTTCAAGGAGAAGACTGGGAGGAGCTGTTTGGTGCTTAAGACGATGACAAGGAAAATGATTTTGATGAATTTTAATGAAAATATTCAGAAAGACCCTGGCACTGTCAAGGAAAGTGGCTGCGGAAGGCTTCCAGGACATGGCAGAGGACGAGATTAGGGAGCTAATTGAAGAGCACGACACTGAGCTGACCGAGGAGGATCTACAGGAGTTAGTAGACTCAGGCGAGGAAGAGGAAGCGAAAGGGAAAGTGGAAGAGGAAGAGCATCAAGAAATAACGTTGGAGAAGTTGGGGGAGATGACCAGGAATATTGAGGCACTGAAAAACCTGGCCTATAGTATGGACCCCTCCATGGTGCGTGCCCTGAAATTCATGCGATGGATGGATGACGTTTTTGCTCCATACAAAAACATCATGGAAGAAATGAAAAGAAAGAGACGACAACTCCCCATCACCATGTTCTTTGATCACCGAAGGAGAGATTTAACACCATCAATCACTGGCGGCAGTGAGGAAGCAGCTGAATCCACCGTCGCCCCCACTTCACCACCCGTTAAGGAATTGAGTGACGATGAGCCCGATGACCCCCGTCCTGTCGCCGAGGATAGGTACTGTACAGTAAAGTGAAATTTTTATCTCTTTTTTTTTTTAATAGCTTTTCTTGCCATGTTTATTGTTTGTGAAAATGCACAGCACAGTACAGTTCAGTACAAGTACTGTACATAGGAAGTGGAGGTGCAGTTATTCACAAAACATTTGTGTTTGTTGTCGGCAGTAGTGACGGTGAGGAGGTGGAGGAGGGAGCGAGTTGGGAGGAGTGGTGACCTTGGACGCGGGAGGAGGGACAAGTGGAGATGCCAGCCAGTACATTACGGGTGTATTAATTGTTTTTATAGCTATTTTTGCATTTTAATATTAAATACTGTACATTACATTTCAACGAAACTACCATTTATTTCTGAGAACATGGAAATGTAATATTTTTGCTGAAATGATGTACGTATTACAGTGGAAAGTGGGATAAAATTGTGACGAAAGCAATGACTTTCTCTTTCTTTCGTTCAAAAGATGTTACCGTAATCGCTTTTCGAATGGTTTTCAGTTGTGGGATTATAAGGCTAATGATAGGATAGAATATTATTGTAATACAGTACGATTACAACAGTTTTTTAACTGAAAACCATTCGAAAAGCGATTACGGTAAAATCTTTTGAATAACGAAAGAAAGCGAAAGTCATTGTTTTCGTCATGATTTTATCCCACTTTCCACTGTAATATGTATGTCATTCCAGCAAAAATATTATATTTCTATATTTATTTCTGAGAATACGTATATTCATTCAGTCACAGTTAAGGTAAAATATACTTGTGATGTAATATTTTAATGAAAATACGGTATCGTAGTTTTCTTTTGTTTCAAATGTAATGAACAAAAATTTATGTCCAGTATCTATAAATAAACTTTAATAAATGAATACTTTATGTTTTACATCGTCCTGTGCTACCATACCATGCATTTGGCTACTTTGGGCTTGCTATGATGATGCAAGAGATCTGCCCTGGCAACTGTACCGACACTCACAGCTAGTGGTGCGTTGGTGCATCATTTCCATTGATTATTGGTAGTTACTGGTAAATATTTTCCAACCTAACGAAACTATTACCCGTTTAGAGGTCGACCCCTAAATTTTTGCCAAATAATTTGGTCTTAAAACTCGAACTACACACAGGTATATACGGTAAATAAGGACATGGGGGGGGGGGCCAGCAAAAATGCGCGGATTTTTAACATCCACGGGTATCTCTGTTACGTAACCCCCGCGTATGTTAAAGGCCGACTGTATTAGTCCACACTGTGAAACATTATTTTTATTTTATTTTTTCATACAGTATTTATGGGAACAGCTAAATTTGCAAAAAAAGGATGAAGTTTATAGAGTCCCAATCAAATAACACTTCACAAACAAAACACATGAATCAATTGAACGTGTGATGTCGAACGTGAACTGTAAGTACTGCATAACTCCGCGCCAAGCAACAGTACAGTACTGTACATGTACATGTACACTTAAAACGTTCGAATGGAATCGTGTTACAGCAAACAAGCATTCGCATTTTACAAATATCGTTCTTCTATTCATGAATCGTGTTATAGCCAATTCGCGTTGACAAAACACGTGTTATAGGAGAACTGACTATGGCTCGTGTCACCTCAGAATGGTTGGTATGCCTGGTTGTGAAGGTGCTGTGCACAGTATAGGTATTACCCAGATTTATGATATTTCGCTTTAACAATGTTGATGTTTTAGGATCGCCTTCCTATTTAAGATCAAAGAAATTTGCATGAACGATGGTCATCGTCTGGCCAAACTCGCTTATGTACAGATGATTGTACAGGTATCCTTGTGTGTTCCTGAAAAACCTATCATTACCTGTATTGCAAAATGATCGATAAAAGAGGGATAACGAGAAATAATATTCTTCCTGAGGGATCACAGGGAATAATATCGATGGATGTGGCACATAACTCTGTAGCAGTCTCCAACTTGCCACCCAGTAGCACTTAAGAGCGGGTGAGGGAGCTGTGATCTACGTTATTCTTCTTATTCAACTCCGTTATTTTGGACAGATACACGTAATGTTCTTAATTTGTTAAACTCTGTTACATGCACACACAATCACTCGTACAGAATATGCTAAATTAAAAAATATTTAGCATAAGGTCAAAAACATAAAGGGAATAAATACTTCGTACATGCACTGGAATTAGCCCTCAGAGCAGGGGAGGGGAGAGCTTAATAGGGGATCTTTCAGTTTTTCTTTTGGGAGAGACTTTTTTTGTGTCTTTTACCTTTGGGCTGCTGACATTGATTTTGAGAAATTTGAGGATTCACTAAAGTTGTCCTCACCATCAAGTGGCCATTTTCTGCACTTATATGGGTTGCCAGGACCACCTGATGGTAACTCTCCATGGCTAAACATGAAAACATTAAAATTAACAGAATTTATGCATTTTAAAGTAATTAATATTTAAACTCTTTCAGGGTGTATGTTGGATCTTTTGAGGATTGGCTAGAGAAGGGTGGACCAGTGGAATATTTTGAAGAACCTCAGAGCTAGATGAGGCCTTTGTAAAACTGACAGTTGTATGTAGTTTTGGAAATCTTAGTTTGATGGCCTAGAAACAATGTATAAATTTTGGGAAAGATGAGTAATATTTGGTCACCAAAAGCCTTGTACTGTAACACTAATAAATTTTAATATTCATTATTTTTATGTAGCAGTGTCTTACCTCATTGACTTTTATGCAGGATTCCCACAAAAATCTATTTTATTTTCCATTAATTTTCCCATGACCAGATCTAACCTAACCAGTATCTGGAACACTCCAAAAAACAGCTAATTTCTGGAACTAATCACATTATTTAAAATGACTGTCATGTAATTCCCTGGTTCAGCTGCAAATTTCCAACCATTCCCCACCTGTGAGCTGCATGTTATATTATGGATATTTTTCAACTTGTACTGTAATTTGAGGTTGATACACATTCTATATGTATGTATGTTTGTTTATTTATTTATTCAGTTACATGCATTTGAGATAAATTTGGCATAATTTTCATCCTTTATCCTCTTTGTTAGCTTTTCATTTGAAGTGATATTTTTTACTTTTTTGTGCATAGTGGTAATTAATTTTGTGGCAGTATACAGTAAATCCTTGCTATTCGTGGGGATTAGGTTCCAAGGAATGGCGTAAATTGGCAAAACCGTGAATAGCAACTTATACTACCTTAGTGCACTATTGTATCCCTATACTGTGTAAGAGAAACTTGAGTCACCAATACTACTTACATTCATATGTGGAAGTTTGGAGTTTAATGAAGTGGTGTACTGTATATAGAGAAACATCTGGTTACTGAAGGATAAGGGGATCATCAGGATCACTGTTGGAAGAAAGTGATCCAGTGGTGGTTGGTGGAGAGGCACACAGCCAGGAGGTGGACTGCCAAAAGGTTCTTGTTTTTACCCTTTAAAGCCCAAGGGTTTGCTAAGCAGTAAAGCAAGCCAGGCTCGATCATGTGACCAACTGCACTGCCACAGAAGATGAGCATCTCTGTCCTTGGCTGCCTTGAACCCAGAGGCACGCCTTTCCTGCTTGTTTATATACAGTAGCTAAAACAACTATCTGTGCAGGTGGGGGTCGATATGCTCCGTGTGACAGCCCTCGTACACCAAAATTTATTGTCCATGGTCTCATATTGATTCCCACAAAGTATGCACAGATAGTTGTTTTAGCTACTGTACATTCTACCAGGCATCTTTTTCCAATATAGATCGGATTCAGCTGCATTAAACAATTGCTCTGGTCTATAGCCTCTCTCTTCTATTACAGGGTATAGCTCTTCCCCGACTTATGACGGGGTTAGGGACCCAAATCCAGGTCATAAGTCGGGAAAAAAAATAATACAGTACATATAAACTCTAAAATGAAATACAGTACAGTAAAAGTAATCAATAATGAAAAATAGATACAGTGTGACTGTGCACTTACCTTTAATGTAGTCAGCTGAATGCACACAGGGCCCCCATAATTTTTTATTTACAGGATACATGGAGACTATATTAATTGGATGAAGCAGAGGAGGAGACAGGGCTGGGTGGGTCAACAATGCTGCTTTCTTCAGACAGGTTTATGTACTGGGGAAACTTGCTGGTTGAAGGTATTGGATCATTTTTAGGGAGTGAAGAGGCAGCACTGGTGGGGTGTGAGGAGACAGCAAAGGGGGACTTCTTAAAATAGATGTCCAATTTAGACTGCACAGCTTGCTTTTTCTTTTCATTATAAATTTCCCTGTAGCAAGCAAGTGCATTCTGTCAACTTTGGCAAAACGCTCAACATTTTGATCCATTCCATCAAACATATGGATATCCTTATTAATTGTAGCAAATGCCTCTGCCATTTTCTTCACTGAAAATTTTTTGGGGGGGTGCAGGTCCTTCTACATTTAGATTCTCTTCTTCCTCTGCATTTTTGTGTGCTTCCAGTTCGATAAGATCCTTGTTACTTAGCTCTTCTGCTACACTTTCAACCAACTTTTCAACATCTTCATTATCAATTTCTAACTCAAGCTGTTTACCCAACTCCACTATCTTGTTACTAATCTTAGAAATTACTTAATTTTCATTAAATCCTTTGAAACTGTTCACATATCTTTTCAGTACTTTCTTCCACATTCCATTCATGCACTGTTCTGTAACCTCATCCCATGCTGCAATAATGTTCTTTATACATGTCAGAATGTTGTAGTCCTTCCAAAACTGGCTGAGCGTTTTCTCACCTTCAGTAGCAGCAACAGCCTAAGCGAAGGTCGTACGTAAATAATTAGCTTTAAAAGCTGCAATAGCACCTTGATCCATGGGTTGGATGACAGAGGTAGTGTTAGGTGGAATGTAGACTACCTTAACAGCAGGGTGCATGTCGTCCAGGTGTGGTGGGTGTCCCGGAGCATTATCCAAAATTAGCAAAATCTTGAATGCAATCCCTTGTTGCAGACAATACTCCTTGGCTCGAGGAATGAAACAATTCATGAACCAATCCTTTAACAGTACTAGGGTCATCCAGGCTTTCTTGTTACTGCGATAAAACACTGGCAGTGTGTGCTTGCTGACATGTTTAAAAGCCCTGGGGTTCTCTGAATGATAGATCATGAAGGGCTTTATCTTGAAACCAGCTACATTTCCCCCAACAGAAGTGTAATTCGGTCCTTGAATCCTGGCATTGTTTTCGCCTCTTTGTGGATGTATGTCCGTTCAGGCATGCGCTTCCATAATAATCCAGTTTCATCCACATTGAATATTTGCTCAGGCAAATAATTTCCTTCCATGATGACACGATCTAGTTCCTCCTAAAATGCTTCGGCAGCAACAACATCAGCACTAGCTGCCTCTCCACTCACCATAATACTATGTAAACTGTAGCGGTTCTTAAATCTATTAAACCACCCATGAGTTGCTGTGAAGGTTTGCTCGCACTCATCTGCCTGCTTCTTCAGGCTTTCGAAAACGTTTCTTGCCTTAGCCTGTAGTGTTGGAAGGCTTAAGGGTACACACTTCTGTATCTAGTCTTCCATCCATATCACAAGTAATTTTTCCGTCTCATGAATGGGACATTGCCTTTTCTTCGTTATTATAGTTCTCTTTATAGGTGCTGATCCTTTCACTACCTCACAAATACATTCCTTGTCCTTCAGAATAGTAGATATGGTCGAGTGCGAGAAGCCGAGGTCACGTGAAATTGTTGCTACAGTTTTCCATTTTCATACAGCATTATTATCTTCATTTTTGTCTCAATAGTAATTGACTGTCTCCTTTTCTTCTGAGCACTACCAGCACTCTCACTTATACGCTTTCCAGTCATTCTAAAGTGAGTTAAATACGAAAATAATGTCAGTACACAGCGCAATCAGTTGCGGATACAACGACAGCCAAACACCAACTAGGCGCTCTACTGTGTGGGTGCTGTACCCACGTGGTGACCCAAGCCACGCGATGCTCTCGTATGGGACGGAAACGTTTTCGTATAGAAAATGCGCGCATCATTTGAAAAAAAATTGGTACCGACTATGGTGGTCGTATGTGCGAATGGTCGTTACGGACTAAGGCAGGTCATAAGTGCGGGTGATCGTAAGTCGAGTAGGTTGTAAGTCGGGGAGGAGCTGTATTTTCTTTAACTTTGCGGGAAATGCATCTGTGGCTGTGAGGTCAGCTGATGCAGCCTCCCCAGTTAGCTTCACATTATGGAGAGAGAATATGTTCTTAAAATTCTTAACCCACCCTTTACTGCCACTGAAAGTTGGTTAAGTAGCTGCACTAGCACCTTCAACACCTGTTGATTTGTAAAAATGGGCATAAAGACTCTTGGCCTTCTCACGAATCACATTGCTGTCAATCGGAACATTTTTGCGGTGCTGGTCCTCAATCCAAATAATCAGTACTTTTCTGTTTTTACTATGTTTTTGTCACGAATAACCTGCGTCACTTTAGCACTTGCAGGAGCACTCGCTTGAACAGAATCACGAATTGCTTGTTCATTCTTTCTTATGTACCGCACTGTGGATTCGTTCACACCAAACAACTGACCCGCAGCATCACCCATTCCCTCCTTTAACTTGTCTAATAATTCAACTTTCTTTGTCAGAGTCATCACTGACTTCTGCCATTTATATTTCACTCCACTAGGCAGCCATTTTTACACAGAAACACTAAAGTTTTGAGAGTACAACACAAGATGCTGCATCACAGGCAATGGTTGAGCACGAACAGAGGGAGAGGCTCTGCTTACCTCAAATCGTTGAAATTGCAAACCCGCAACTAGCAAGGGTTTACTATACATATTTTTATTTTATTTATATTTTTGTCAGATAAATAAATTTTATAGCCATGTTAAGTGAAAAAATACAGTAAAACTAATTTTTTGGTGGAAAATTTAAGACTTTTGTGGAACAACCTTGAAGCACCCAAAGGGTTGTTTTATTTACAAACTTGTTTCAGTAGGTTGTTCTCATCTTTACTGAACCTTTCTACTGTTTTTACATAATACAGTAATGCTTTTCCTAATTTTTGCCAAACCTTACTGACTCCTTTCTCACCTCCCAAAATATTCCTTATTCACATTCTTACACAAAGAAACACATTAAAAGACTAAGGAAAAATAATGTTGAATAAATCCTCAATGATATTTATCATCATTATTATTATTAAAGAATTGAGGAGCATATTTAACAAACATAATAAAGCTAAGGACAATCATTTACTCAATGCAAATAATTATTATTGCTCAAAGTAATATATTTACAAGACAAAGTGGATCCTTATATAAGTATCAATACCTAGAAATATACTGATTATTCTACTGTGTAGTAATACAGTTAATCACATTCTCATAGTAAGCTTAGCATCTAGAACACTATGTAAACATCATTTTCAGTGACCTATTAGACAAAATTAAAAGTATGGAAGTACAGGAAGGCAATGCTCACAGCTCCCCCAAACAACACTATCAAATGATAAATGTTCAGGAATATCACAATAAAATGACTATCATTTTATAATTCTCATCTTAATGCTTTACAAGTTGTTTCCATGATACACAGCAAAAAGAGAAAGCTTCGGAGACCCATTTTGTAACTGAGCTATGACAGAACTTTGCACTATAGGTATTTGGCATTTAACTGCATCATATATAAGAATTATCATACAGGAAAATAAAC